TTGATGAGGTGTACAACACGACGGGCTGTTTCCCTGGTGAGGAGAACAATGAGTTGTTCAAGGTTCTCTGGACGGGCTTGGTTTTCCGGTTCGTCCTTGCTAAGCGTCGCCCATAATTCCCGACCCTTTTGAAGGGCCAGTTTTGGATCAGTAGCAATCTAATAAAATAACAGATAATATTAAACATTTGATTATTGCACACCTGGTACCCTGGTCTTACCAATTCAGCAACATAAACCAAGACGTGGATGGCTTCAGCACTTTGCTCCTTCAAAGCCTTAGCTTCCAATAGAGTGCGTTGGGTAAGACGACGACGTAACTTCTTCGAGAAGCGAAACATGTGCTGACCGGTATGTAGGGCCTTACCAGCATTACCACTACCGCTTGGAGGTGCATCAACAACATCAACACCTTCGTTACCCTTGTCAAACACATCAGCCGGAAGATATTTATCCACGTACATGTCGGCCACGGATAGAGCACCATCAAGTTTATCAGCGGCAAATGCAGTGAATTTGCTTTCCAGCACCTGGTTGCCGATCTGCTTGACTGAATCAGCGCGCTTCAACACCGGCCGAACGATTTTGCTGCCCACGTCACTCACGTACTGCTTGGTGTTGGTGTAGATCTAACAAGGTCATTGAAATTAATATAATTGCTGGTATACCCGTGTGTTATAATTACCATTTGCGGTGGCAGGTGGATCGAGGGCACTTTTTGCTCGACAATATCCAAACTTTTGCACAACAAACGGTCGATAGTTGAGAGTGGGCCTTCGAGTAAAAACACTGCTGGTGAGGCAGTGTCAATGACGTTGTACAGCGATGATTCGGCTTGGTCTAATGTCCATTGCAGCAAATTATTTGAATGCTAATGAAATAAACGTAAATTTTATACGAAATAAAAATTTTCTGTTTGTATTTGCACCTTGATACGTTGATACATGTATTCCGCATAGTTCCATCCAGTTTCCACAATCGGAAGATTACTGATGCGATTCACCGCCTCCAGTTCCGGCAGATTAATCATTCTTGATTGATTCTGGACCACTGCAAGGCGAAGCATTGATAAGGAAACATTTCGACGCGCAGACGAAAAAATCGATGCCGTGTTATCGCAGATCCCGTCTGCGGGTTCAAGCTCCTAGCCTCAACATTCAACTCGAAATACACAAAAATGACCGGCGGGAGATAAGCGCCCAACAATGAAGACTGCTTAAATACAAGCACTGCTGGACTTTAGCCAGACTAGTTGTCCGTTTTATGGACGGCGTGCATCGTCCACTCGCAATCCATCTCCGAATCTGAACTTGAATTTCGCGCGCCTAATTAACGCTCATTCATATAGGTACACGAAACTTTTTGCGCCAGGAGAGTTGCCGAAATTTTTATCGTGCATTTATCCCGCGTAAAGAATTAATTATCATCAGTGAGTCACATGAGCATTTTGTTTTCGCGCAAACACTGATAACTCCATTATCTTGCTCGCTCCGCACGTACACATGCGCAATAATTTCATATATTTTGTTGCACAAAATTAGTATGTTTTGCCGGCTGTATCTAAGCGGACCTTTATGAATCGCACATATAATATTAAGTTATGAAAACAATTAAAATTGAACGTAATATTCGGTCAAAAAGAGCCGAAAAGTACCTATCTCTATAATTACTGATTTCAAGTGATACGAAATATTTTATTGATGATTAATCAATAATCATGCTCTCAAAAATCTTGATAGAAATTTACTGATATCAATTTAATTCGATTTAATTTGTTATACTGTACAAACACTTACTGGTTGCTGCAAGATCGAGCTGATTGATTTGAATTTGTAGACGCGCGGTAAACTTGTGAACGCCGCAAGCGATCTGGTCGAACTAAGATCGCCACCGCCGGCATTACAGGGCGCCGGGGCCTCTAATCGAAGACACCGATGATGATTGCGCGTGATCATGGCATGAACTTTGACACTCACACGCCGATACGGAGCTTATCCGCTTTGCTGCAGTTGTTGACTCTCTGCTACGATACTTTTTCTTCGACGATTATTAAAATGACGTCACCGGTTACAAATCAGCGCCATCTGGCCGTAGGCGGGCGTAAACTATTCAAGTGTATAATGCATAGGATGATTAAAATAAATATATTACGAGTTATGACATTATCCCATCGCATATGTGTAAAATATTAATTGCTAATATTAGCGCAAACTTAACTGAGCCTCTGTTATCTATACACATGCCATTGTTGAAATGTGGCAATGTGGAAAAAATGTTATCAGTGGCACTTATCGAAATTTCGTCCAATTAATATGATTCAATATCATCGATTATGATGGAGATAAAAGCGCTATAGACTATATTAGATCACAATCCTGAATATTCGCGTAGAATTCGTTGAGAATTGTGCACGTGATTCTTATATTTGATCCAAAGTGTTGGCCAAAATGGCGTTGCTGATGTTTGCTTGCATCGCGTTTGCGATCGCCGGCAACCATCTTGTTTTGCGCAGGATGATTGGACCGAACCGTATTTCACCGCAGGAGATGGAGTGGACTTGGCCGCAAATGAAAACAATCTTCTTATAAAATTTAAAGAAAGTGAAAAGGAAGGCTTTATAATAGGCACATTTTTATATACAGGTACGTAAATTTTGATTACGTGATAAAACTGAGTATGACTGCGACATTTCCAGGCTCTGGTGTATTGACATTGGATGGACCACAGAGGGATTATTTCAAATTGGATACTCTGGTTCTTTCTGCTTAAAAAGAAGCTGATTTTGAAAACGATTTGGAGAAGAAGTTAAGTATCAGAGTGACTCAGGGCGACTTCACGCTTCAAATTACAGTCGAAGTGCAAAACGTTAATGATAACCCGATTTATATTACGGGGAATCGTTGTGAACAAAAAGTAAGAGCATACATATCACAATAAAAACGATGAAAGATTAACGTTGATTATAATTTTAGGAAAATAATGATGAAAATTATATCAATGAGGAATGCGTATATACCATCACGGATGCCGACGGATTGTCTGAGCATCTAGAATTTGGTTTTAGTCCGGATAGGTTCAGAATGTCCAAGGAACCAAATGAACTTAAAGGACAAGAGAGAGCAGAGCTGAACTTAAAATTTTTAAAATCTGAAGATTTCGAAACGGAAAATACAGTTGCTCTAACCTGGACAGCAAAAGTAAGAATTACGAGGTATATTGGGAGATAATTATGTATTATATTTTATTGTTTGTATAGGACGAAGAATATAAAGAAGAAGGAGAATTTGCGGAATTATTCATTCTGGTAAAAATTATTGACATGCCTGATATGCCAACTGAATGGAATGATTATATTGGTACAATTTCCATCAAAGAAGAGGAATCTGTGACTCGTACCCTTAAAGCTAGAGATGGAGATATTCAAATTGCTGAAACTATTCAATATAAACTAGAATGTGAACCCCAGCAATGTATGTCCAATATAATATATAAAATATGTATTTTCTAGTAATATTGTATACATTACAGGTCCACACATAGAACTGGTAGGGGATCAGCTGAAAATTGGTCCCTATATCTTGGATGATCCCTTAGACAATAGCTTCAGTTTTGATGTGACTGCCTTTGAATCACACATTGAAGCAAGCCAAACAGTTTACATACAAATTATGGACATAAACAATAACAAACCGGAAATATCAGTGTCGCTGCTTGAGTTTGAAATAGAAGAAGAAACAAACACCCTTCCACCCAAGTTATCTATCACAATAAGCGATAAAGACGCTGTAAGTTGAACAAAATTATATTAACTTATTATTTATCAAATATGCTTTAGGGAAAGTATGGCACGTACACAGTTTCATTGGAAAGCGAGAAGTTGCCAAATATCAAGGAAATTATGCAAATTATTCCGGAGTCAGGCTATCAAACAACCCAATTCAATATCATAATAACCGACGCAGAAAAATTGGACTACGATGACGAAAATATGGACGTACCCGCAATTGTTGATGTCATTATTAAGGTGGAACCGGCCGATCCGGAGCATCTGTCTGATCACACTGTTGAAGAAACAATAAAGATTACCCTCAAGGATTTAAATGATGAATCACCAATATGGAAAGAACCTAAGTACGAGGTGAAAGTTTTGGAAACGTTTGGTCGAACTGAAATTGAAGAAATAAAAATAGACGATCACCAATTTTTCGCAACGGATAATGATAAAGAGGAAGTGTTCAACACAATAACTTATGAGTTAGGTCCTGCGGCCCAACAACTTCTGACTCTAGAAACCACAACCCCCGAAAAGGAAAAGAATCTTGTTTTAAAGACAAAGACAGTGTCGGGTACTACAAAACAATTATTTGACTATGAACGGGAGAAAAGTATTATAATTCCAATCACAGCCACGGATGGACTAAACACCGCCACCGTTCAGTTGACCATTAATTTAGATGACGTCAATGATGAAATGCCCACGTTGGATGCGGTAAGTACCAAAATCGGTTCCAGATTCCCATTTAACATCTCACCATTTTGCAGGATACACAAACAGCTGATATTAAAGAAAAATCAGACATTGACACTAAAATTGATATAAATTTGGAGAGTAATGATGCTGATGAATCAAGCGAGCTTAAATACGGAATTGATGAAGGTGATGATGATTCGTATGTTCTTAAACGCGGAAAGAAGTTGATGTGGTCCGATCATCGTTGCATTTCTATTAATGAAGAGACCGGCGAATTGAAATTAACACAAGAACCAGACTATAATGTGTTCGATACAATTTATCTACAAGTTTATGTCGAGGACCTGAAAGCTGAAGTTCCAAAACCTCAGAAAACAAAACGTATGACAAGTTTATATTTAATATTTAGGTAAATAGTAATTACGTGGGTGTTGCTTACAGTGAGACTAATTATTAACATCGAAAATATCCCTGACATGCCATTGGAGTTTGATGACAACACATTTATAGATAATGCTGTTGTTGAACATTCAGAAAAAGGTTTAACTATTGGTGTAATCAAAGCGACAGACCCAGACGCACCCGGATGGAAGGAAATTGTGTTTAGTTTAAAGTAATTGTTATACGCTTTGTTGATTCAGTTGCTAAAGTTAATTTTTCAGGGAGAAACCTGATACGCCAGTTGGATTAGTTTCCATTCATCCGGATTCTGGGAAACTTACGGTTAGTGGTGAAATTGATGCTGATTTTACTGACCATAATCCCAAAGGATTGTTTGATTTGAAATATGAAGTGACGGCTACTGTTGATGACCAAATCCACAGATTCGAAGTTAAAGATTTAACAATAAGTATCAAAGATATTGATGACAACAAGCCAAAACCAGAAAATAATACGTTTAATTTTTCGATTGAAGAACATAGCGATGTATTAATTGGTTCAGATGGCCATATTAAGGTGACCGATAGCGACAGGGATGGTAAGATGTAGAAACAATTAATTTGTTCATCGTTCATGATTTTATTTACAGAGAAGAACAGCCAATTTGAATGTAGAATTGATATTGATAGTGATATTAAAGATATCTATGCAGCCGACACAGATGAAACTGGATGCATAATCAAAATCGTAAATGGTAAAAAAATTGAGCGGGATGGAAGCAACGGTCGAGAGAAACACACCTTTAATCTGATTGCTTATAACCCAAATACCATTGTTGAATCATCTATTATTCCGATTGAAATTGAAATCAAAGATATCAACGACAATTATCCATCGATTACAACAGATCTTCAGTTCACTGCAAATGAAGAAGATAAAGAGGTTCAGTGTGTTTTGTTGTGTTCGTAACAAAGTTATTAATTATTTATGTTTTGAATTTAGCAAAAGGTATTGGGCGTCATAACAGGTGTCGATGAGGATAGCGAAGAGAAGAATATCAAAATTCTTTACGAGCTGATAAACATAGAAAAACATGATGGCGATGATAATTCACAATTGACGTTAGAAGACTTTGAGATAGAAAAAATTGGTGGTCAACTAAGGAATTCTAAATTCAAAATAAAGAAAAATTTGGAACATTTTATGGCACTTACACACTGACCTTCAAAGCAACCAATGATTTAGCTGATAACAAGTGGTACACTGATAATAATACAGTCACACTAGTTGTAGAAAGTACAACTACAAAAGTGTCAGTTTTGTGGGAGCACTTGCTAATCCCGATCCAGTCATTATTTTGAGTGATGCCCAAGAAGCAAATAAACCGTTGCATCAACATGGTCCGAATGCACCGGATCTCGAAAACTTTGAAGCCACTGACAATCAAGGAAACAAATATGCGTTGGAATTTAAAATAATCGATAATTGCTTAGGTAAGATACAAAGTGAAATTTAATAGATAATGCTTTGAATTCACTTATAGTGGACGGACAAGACTTATTCAAACTGCTTGGCGTCAAGGATCAAACAGCTCAACTGCAATTGACGTCTGCCGTGAATCTTCCAGACAGATGTATACTGACAATCACAGCTCAGAGCATAGGCGCCACCCCACACCATGATGAAGCAAAAGTTGAAGTTAAAATCATATTCCTAGACAATGACGCCGGGCCGGTTTTTGAACAGACCGAATTTTCGTGTGAGTGGGTTGAAATGGATATAGGTCCTTTGAAATGCCAACTACCGGAAGCAAAACAATACACAGAGACCCGACACAATACGTTTGCTGATACCAATATTAAATATTATATTTCTGAAAGTGTACCTGAAGGTGCTTACGAAATCACCGACCCAATGGTGATAAGTGTCAATGTTGCGAAAAGAAATCGATTTGAACGAGCTGGGAGACGAAAAATCATGGTTTAAAGTCGAAGCATCATACAATACAGTGCCAGTGATCAACCAAAACCAGAAAGTGTGTTACTGGTGAATGTAAATGTAAGTTATTAATACAATTATATAAGATACAGTAGATTTTATTGATCGTTTGGCAATTTCAGATTGAAGATATCAATAATCATCCACCAGTGTTCAGCAAAGAAAGCGATATAGGCATTCTTGCTTATCGGTTTAGCCAACAAAGGCACCCAATGTTGAACCCAAAGCCATGATCCGGATAAAGACGTTCTGATTCCTCAAAATTAATTGGGATACGTACGTCGCCTTATTTTTGTAAATATACCCAGCAAAGATACGAAACCGTTTGAAATCAGGGAAGAATCAATAGTCGAGAAGGGTGAATTATTGGCAACTTTCACGCGCCGGTGCGCGAGCGGCCGAGTGGAATTTGATGCAATCGTTGAGGATTCCGACGACGAGAACACACCGACACAATGCATGTTACACTCTATGTGATTGCCGATGTGCACTTGTGTTCGCTGTTTTTGAGAATAATTTGCAGGATGTCCAGAAGAAAAGAAATTGTAAGTATTACATGTAATAAGAATGAACATGTAGCAGTTATAATGTGCAGTTGATTGGGAGTGTTAGCAGAACAATTTAAATACACCGTTGGAATTAGTGATGTTAAGTTAATATCTCATTGACCACACGACGATGTACGACTTACGAATGAAGATAGAATGTCGATATAAGTTCCACCAGAAATTGATTGCGTACTTTATCGATACAGAAGGCCAATTCGGCATTGAGAGCGATGTTATTAAAGGCATAATGTGCAGCAGATTGATGTGAAACTTGTTTTAACACGTATTTTTTCTTTGCAGTCAAATCAACAATTTGAACTTTTTATGCGCAGCTTCAACTTTCTTGGAATATTCCTGCTGATGACAAAACGTTGTATACAGCCGATGCTGAATCATTGGAGGAAACTAAAATTGCACTGATAGTGGTATCAGCCATTTGTGGAGTGCTGATTATTGGACTTATCGGCTTTTCACATACAAAATCGATCGTAGGTTGAGTAGCTATAACTGAATTGTAAATGAAAACTTATATTTATTTTTGCTTACAGTACCAACAGTCGCATTAATCGACTGAAAGCAAGCGGAAGTGCGGCGCCCTACGATTCAAATCTACCGGGCGCAAATCGAAGGGCTACGCAGGTTGTGAATCCATTGCCCATCTGGAAGGATAAATATGAGCAACGTTTGTCATTTACAAATCACCGCGCAGGTCTTTTAGGAATTCAATAGATGACGAAGACGATGATGAAATTTATTGTGGAAAGAAGTGATATATTCAAATCGCTACTAATTATTAGTTTATTTTGGTAGCGTTTAGAACTATTAATATTGTTAAAACATTTGTTGGTAAAATTATAAAACAATAGAAACCAAAACTGTTGCAATACAATTAACATTCAAAAGGCTCTTTCTAAAATTTATTTAATAAATTTCTATATTATATATTGAAAACATGTTGTAGGATACACCCTGCTTATCTCGTCGATCATAACCCTGTATCTCAAGGTTTGTACTTTCTTTTAATTATTTTGCGTCACATTATAGATCAAGCGCTTTTCTTTACGATGCATTAAAATATTAACACGCTTCTAGACCCGCTTTGGAAGTAGCCTAAAAGCCACTCTTCAAAAAGTTAGCAATTTATAAAATTAGAAAGATGGTGTGGAAAACAACCTGTATCTCTAAACTAATATATTTTCCCAGAGTTTCTTAACGCCATATAAAGTCAAGAGACCACTTTTACGATGCATTTTATTTCAGCCCTGAAGCCATTTAAAAGTACCCTAAAATTTTACTTCAAACGTTGGCAATTTTTAAAAATTTGAAAACATATGAATTGTGGAAAACACCCTGTATCGTAAACTAGTGATTTCTTTAAAGTTTCTCACTGCCAAGTTAGAAGTTCAAGGGTCCTCTACACGATACATATTACTATTTCAAATGGCTGATCTTTTGGGAAGTGCCCTAAAACGCCCTTTAAAATTAGCATTTTTTCAAATACGGCCAAGTATGGTGTGGAAAACACCCTATATCTCATGAACTATTTGACTTTTTAAAGTTTCTTACCGTTATGTTAAAGTTAAAGAGTCTCTTTGCGACGCATATTTTACAATCCCTAACCCTTCCAGAAGTACCTAAAATACACTTTAAAAGTAATATTTTTTACACCCGCATAAATCACCAATTTTGGTCGAAAAACAGGGTCGAACTTTTTTATTAAAAATGTTTTCGGACGAACAACAGGGTCGAACTTTTTTCTTAAAATTTTTTCGGTCGAACAACAGGGTCGAACTTTTTTCTTAAAATTTTATCGGTCGAACAACAGGGTCGAACTTTTTTCTTAAAATTTTTTTCGGTCGAAAGACAGAGCCGCACTTTTTTCTTCAAATTTTTTTCGGCCGAAAGACAGGGTCGCACTTTTTTCATAAAATTTTTTCGGTCGAAAGACAGGGTCGCACTTTTTTCTTTAATTTTTTCCGTGAAACCGGCGAGGATAACTTGCGATTATCTCAAGAACAAAAAGGGCTACGCAAACAGGGACTTCATATTTTTGATTCTTAAAGAATTCTCTATAAGATAGCACCGTTCATAAAAAACGACCAAAAGTGCATAAAAAAATTTAACGAAAAGATTTTGTTATAAAAAAGACAAAAGATTTCTCTTTTTTATGTTGAAAATTAAAAATTGGAATTTTTAAATTCTGATTGCGGATTTTTAACAAACGATTAAATTTTATTAACTTATCTTAGTAACATTTGTCCTTATCATGCTTTGTTTAGGCCCTATTGGGTTGTAAAGATTACAATTAACACAAATTACTTTAAACAGTTTTTGTCGTATATCTTTTAAACCGTGTGTCAAATTAAAATTATGTATTAAAATAATCACTCGCTAAAATTGCCCTCTATGATAATACACCCTAAAAAATAGATATTTTCAATTTCTTGCACAATACTTTTAATTATTAAAAATTTGGCGGAGGCGCCTGACATTTTAATTAGTATTTCAAGTATTTATTAAAAATTGATAACACTGTTGTGTAGAGCAGCTCTTAATTACCCAATTTATACAACTTTTTGTTTAATAGCTCCAAGGGTGTTTCCTGTGGATGGCTTTAAGTGAAATGTGTACTCGCAGCAAGATTTAAGAATCAATTATCTTGGAAACTAATAGAGATAATCAGAAACCAACAACACTATGATGCACAGTATCAAATCCTAAACAGGATAACACCAAAAAAAATCAAATATAAAATCTGTATACAAAATTTTCCGACATAATTTTCTCGGAAAGTAATAAAGTTAGAGAAAAATTTTCTTCATTTTCTTCATGTGGTGATATGGCTCTACGAAATGGCAGATTTAGTTTTTCCAATTTCCAAAGTTGACCAAACACCACTCGAAAAAGATCAAGAGGTTACACTTGACTCTTTTGTGGCTCAAAAATAATTTTTTACGCTAGAAGAAAATGGAAAACGTCAATCGATAGAGTTTTCCAAGGGGATGAAAGATATCTAGTCAGTTTTTTGATAACATCAATATTTCGGAAAATGGGCGGTAAGTTCAAAACTGATCAAATAAAACCACCCCTCCGATTTTCCTCAAACTTTCTAAACTGATGTAAAACAGTGCCAGGAATCCGTTAATGAAGGTTTGGTTGCGCTATCATAATTAGTTTTCAAGTTATTGACCATTTTCAATTATTACATAAGTGTTGATAACTGAAAATTTTAAAGTGTTAGATAATGTTGAATTTAATCCTACACACGAATATGAAAACAGTTTTTCTTTATCTCTAATAGTTTGCAAGATAAATGGGAAAAACTGGTTTATACATTTTCTTCATCATTTCTTACGCAAAAAATGAAAATTGGAAATTTAATGTTTTTTCTGCAGCTGCTGTTAGTAAACATGATTATAAACACTTTATCTTAGTAATATTTTGTTATCAGACTAATAGTTTAGATAATAATCACCATTTAGTGATAAATATTACCATAGCATTTCTTCAGTTTTGAGAGAATAACCATTTAATTATTTTAATAGTATATGATGTAGAGGATCTCTCAAGGATTACGCATATGAAATCCTTTTGTTCCTATGCTTTTTAGTTTTCGAGATATGTACATGTGAAATTTTAAATTCAATTCGCACGAAAATAATTTTAAGCCAAAAGTCCGACCCTGTTCTTCGAGCAAATATAATTTTAAGAAATAAGTCCGAACCTGTTTTTCGCACGAAAATAATTTTAAGCTAAAAGTCCGACCCTGTTCTTCGAGCAAAAATAATTTTAAACAAAACGTCCGACCCTGTTTTTCGACCAAAATTAAATTCACAAAACAAAAAAATCTGAAAAAAGAACAACCTTAAATAGGGGAAAAAACAAATAAAACACAATATTTTGTCAATTGACATGAATATATTATAATTCGTTTAAATTCATAGGCAATTAATTGTAAACGTCCAAAAGATTATCTTAACGATGTATTTTATTTCAATCCCTTACACCCATTAAAAGTGGCCTAAAATGCCCTTTAAAAGATGCTAACTTTATAAAAAATTGAAAACATGGTGTGGAAAACACCCTGTATCTCCTAAACTAATAAACTTTCTCCAGGTTTTTTGACGCCACTTTATAGCTCAAGAGACGCTCTTTACGATGTACTTTATTTCAATCCTCTAAAGCTAGTAGAAGTGCCCAAAAATGCCCTTCAGAAGTTAACAATTTTATGAAAATTTAAAAACATGGTGTGGAAAACACCCTGTGTCTCCTAAACTAATGTACTTTTTCCATGTTTTTTGACGCCATTTTATAGTTCAAGAGACGCTCTTTACGATGTACTTTATTTCAATGCGCTATACCTATTAGAAGTGCCCTAAAATGCCCTTCAAAAGTTGGCAATTTTATGAAAATTTAAAAACATGGTGTGAAAAACACCCTGTATCTCTTAAACTAATATATTTTCTCCATGTTTTTTGACGCTACTTTATAGCTCAAGAGACGCTCTTTATGATGTACTTTATTTCAATGCTCTAAACCTATTAGAAGTGCCCTAAAATGCCCTTCAAAAGTTGGCAATTTTATGAAAATTTAAAAACATGGTGTGGAAAACACCCTATATCTCCTAATCTAACATACTTTCTCCAGGTTTTTTGACGCCAAATTATAGTTCAAGAGACGCTCTTTCCGATGTATTTTATTTCAATGCTCTAAACCTTTTAGAAGTGCCCTAAAATGTCCTTCAAAAGTAGGCAATTTTTTCATTAAAATCTGAACATTTTCTTGAAATTGGAATAAAAATGAACCGAAAAATTCGGCCCTGTTTTTCAACCAAAAATTTTTTAACGCAAAAAGTTTGACCCTGCTCTTCAAGCAAAAATTATTTTAATATATTATTTCAACTCTGAGTTTTGGTTGAACAAATTTTGTAAAAAAAGTTTGGCCCTGTATTTCAACAAAAAATAATGTTAAAATACAATTTGCATTTCCAATTCAGAATTTAATTTACTTTCAGAATCTGAAAACAAAATTTAAAAATTTCAATTACCCTCGAATAGAGACTCATGAATCAATTATCTCGGGAACTAGAAAAGATAAATAAGAACCGAAAACACTATTTTGCTCAGTATGAAATCCTAGGTAAGATAACATTTTAATAATTTCAAATATAACATGTGTCTTTAAAATTTTCCGCTGCAATTTTCTCGGAAAGTAATAAAGTTAGAAAAGAACTTTCTTCATTTTGTTCATGAGGTGGCAAGGATCTATAAAATGGCAGATTTAGATTTTCCATTTTCCAAAGTTGACCAAAGACCACTCAAAAGAATCAAGAGGTTACACTTGACTCTTTTTGGAGTCAAAAATTTTTTTTAAAGCTAGAAGAAAATGGAAAACGTTAATCGATTTAGTTTTCCAAGGGGATGAAAGATATCAAGTCAGTTTTCCGATAACATCATTATTTCGAAAAATTAGTGGTCAATTAAAAACTGATCAAATAAAACTACCTCTTCGATTTTCCCCAAACTTTCCAAACTGATGAAAAACAATGCCAGGAATCCACAAATCCAAGTTTGGTTGCGCTATCTTAATTAGTTATCAAGTTATTGACCATTTTTAATTATTGCATAAGTGTTGATAATTGTAAATTTTATCATGTTATATAATGTAAAATTTAATTCTACATACGAATATGAAAACCGTTTTTCTTTATCTTTAATGGTTTTCAAGATAAGCAAGAAAAACTGGTCTATTCGTTTTCTTTATCATTTCCTAGACAAAAAAATAAAAATTAGAAATATGACTTTTTTATTGCATCATATTGAAGAACATGTAATTCTACATACTTTATCTTAATAAAATTTTGTTCTAAAATTAATTGTTTTGATAATAATGACCCTAACAAAGTCATGTTTTGTTGCTATTCAAATTATATTCTTTTTTTTATTCAAATTGCAAATAAGGCCTAAACGGTAAATGTTAGCAAAAATGTTATTAAAGTAATCGATTCAAAATTATATTATATATCAGGATCCGAAAACAGAATTTAAAAATTCGAACTTTTAATTTCGAACATAAAAAGAGAAATCTTTTGCCTTTTTATAACAAAATCTTTTCGTTAAATTTTTTATGCACTTTTGTCGTTTTTCAAAAGGGTGCCATCTGGTAGAGAATTTTTTAAGGATCAAGAATATGAAGTCCTTTTTTCCGTAACCCTTTTAGTTCCCGAGATAATCGCAATTTAATTTCGCCGGTATCACGGGAAAAATTTAAGAAAAAAGTTCGACCCTGTTGTTCGACCGAAAATATTTTTAGGAAAAAAGTTCGACCCTGTTGTTCAACCGAAAATATTTTTAGGAAAAAAGTTCGACCCTGTTGTTCGACCGAAAATTTTTTTAAGAAAATTAGTTCGAACCTGTTCTTCGACCAAAAATTTTTTTAACAAAAAAGTTCGACTCTGTTGTTCGGTCGAAATTTTTTTAGGAAATTAAATTCGACTCTGTTCTTCGACCAAAAAAAAATTAATAAAAAAGTTTGACCCTGTTATTCAACCAAAAATGAAATTTATTGGTCAAAAATATTTAAAGGGCATTTTAAGGCACTTTCATAGGATTTACAGAGTTTAAAGGGTATGCATAATGTAGAGGGTTTCTTAAACTTTAACATGACGTTGAAAAACTTTAAGAAAATCGTTTAGTTCACGAGATACAGGCTGTCTTCCATAGCATGTTTTCAAATTTTCACAAACTTGCCAACTTTTAAAAGGTATTTTAGGGCACTTCCAAAAGGAATAGCGGGTTAATATTTATTGCATCGTCAAGAAGGGCTCTTGAACTATAATATGGCATCAAGAAATTCCAAGAAAGTATAATAGTCCACGAGATACAGGGTGTTTTCCGCACCATGTTTTCAAATATTCATAAAATTGGCAACATTTAAAGGGCATTTCAGGGCACTTCCAAAGGGCCTAGATTACTGAAATAAAATTCATTGAAAAGAGGATCTGTTGAACTCTAATATGACGCTGAGAAACTTTGGGAAAGTCAATTAGTTCAGGAGATACAGTGTATTTTGTACATAATGTTTTCAAATTTTCATAAAATTGCCAACGTTTGAAGGGCATTTTAGGGCACTTCCAAAGAGTCTAGCAGGCTGAAAGAGAATGCATAATAAAATAGTGTCTTGGAGTATAATATGGCGGCGAAAAACACATAGAAAGTAAATTAGCGCAAGAGATACAGGGTGTTTTCCACATCACTTTGACAAGGTTTGGGAAGGGTTAAGGGTATGTATGTTGTAAAAAATCTCGTGTCCATTCCACTGAAAAAGAAGGCTCAGGAGCAAACTCAGGGAACATTATAAATAAAATAAAAACACTGATTGCAAGGAATAACATTTATGTTCTTTATTCTGTTCGCATTGTATTTCCTTCAATTATTTTTGCATCTTTGTTCAATATATCTAATTTCGTATAGTTTCAGTTTGAATCTGATTTACAATATCATTAGTGTCCGCATTGTTTTATTTGAATTTACTCTCAAAATACAGGTGTTTTGAATTGCATCACTAAGATATATGGTATAAATTCTCATTATTACATGTAAAATGCAAGCCGAAACATGACTGCACTTCGTTTTCCAACACTTCCTTTGCTCTGTTCACAAATTGTCGTGTTCAACACCATATTTTGAAAGAGTAATTGATATAATAAGTGTTAAGGCATACGAATAAGTGAAAATAGGCACTAAACATATCTCAATTCATCTCAAATTTGATACCGTAATATGACGAATTCAACGAAAAATTAAAAAGAGACAACGCCTACAGACAAACATAAAATGCGTTTGGACATCGACGCGTGTTTGATTCCTAATTTCCTGTAAGTTGACTGTTTGCTTTTTAGATTAACTAAATACGATCGACGTCACCACTTAATAAATTTCGAATGTGTTGAAAGTTCCAATGAAAATCAACAAACTATAATAATTAACAAAAACTTTGAAACAAAAATATAACAACACATTTACTTCGTCGCGAGTCAAACATAACAACGGCAAGGCAAGATGTTATGTGTCAACGCGGAAACGTCGATCGCGAACAAATGATACTCCATAAACTATAAAATGAGAAAATCACGATACAAGACGAACATTTGCAAACTCAAGCTCAAACGAAACAAGACCACGCTTGAGGTTGCAATTATTCGCCGGAGATTTTCCACCGAACAAAATATTATCAATAATTAGTTGTTACATTTTAACATAAGAATATTTTTAGCATTTGCGCTCCTCAATAACTCTCGGGCAAACTCTCGTCAAATACATTAAATCTTTCGTTCTTGCAAAAGTATCGAAACCAATCGCGCTACGGTTATGAATAACATATACAATTTATTACACTCGTTTCTGTTTCCCATTTGAGAGTTCATTTTCCCAAGATTTTCCTTGTGATTAATCATATGCGTTCGAACAACAAAGCACCAAATTAATCGTCGAAGCGCTATAGTTTCTCAACACGTGTTTACAAATTTATACACGCTTGGATTTGTAGCATGATGTCTGATTCAGCAACGAGAATTTCTTTCTGAAATCAAACGCGTAAGAACCGAAAGCGATTCGCTCATATTCAACATTTGCGCGTTGTTACATTTCCATTTACATTTAAAACAATCAGCACAAACAAAATCCCATTCACACACAGCTTCCACATGGCAAATTCGCGCTTGTCAATGTAAATCTCGTTGAATCATTTTGACGCTTCGTTCTCCATTAGATTCCGCTAGTTATCCACAAAAAAGGGCAACCGTTCTGAGCAATATTACAAATTACAAGTGCTAATACAAAATATTTCTACGAATCATTTTGTAAACTCTTAGCATTCGTACTTCTCATTTGGTAATTAGATTAGTAACTTTGGTTCGTTCTGACTAAATAATCAAATCGCCATCGGATATCTACAGGAATCTAATGCGCTGTACGCAGTTTTTGCTTGCTTCAACATTCGTTCTTCGTGTGTATATCGCATACTTGTTATGTTATTAAATATTTGTTTTTCATTATTTTGTGTATTTTTTTGTTTTTAATTTTATGCTTGAATATTACCTATCAATGTCGTGTAGTTCATCTTGCTATAATCAACTACCGATTCGCTGTTTCGCATAAAGAAATTCAAGCAGTATTCAACTAAGTACATTTAAACCTTTAATTTTCATTCCTCCCACAACAACTATCTCTCCTGCCGCAGATGCCACATTAACTTAAACTCGGTTAACATGTTCTGCTTTAAAATTATTTAAATTATCATCTTTCTTTTCCATCTGTACGCTCATCAATTGTGTGTTCTGCGTCGCTCGTTTTCCTGTTATTATTCCTACTGCACATACAATCGTTAGAATTAAAAATGATAAAACATGTTTATAGAATATAGAATAATTTACAAATTAAATATTTAGATACTGGGGCGACTTCGTTATAGGTTTCGGCGCCTTTTGGGAAAAAATATATTCGGCCAGTGCAAGAAGTCGCCATCATTTCTTATTACGTTCTCTAAACGCATCTTTTGTGTGTGTTTTTTTTTACCTTCTCATCGAAAAAATTTGCTAATTTATGGTTTCAAATCATACTTTGCCTACAATAAAAACTATTTTCAATTTATGTAAGTTTGCTGTTTTGATTGTTACAGATAATATGCATATCATAACACGCAACAAAAATATATCTTTACTTTGTTATTTCCCGAGATTCCTGAGGTCGGCTTATTCGTCTAGCACGTGCATAATTTGCGTGCGTATTTAAAAATCTGGGAAATAATCCTGCTTGCAAACGTTTGCGCACTTTTGAATAGTTGCGTAAATAAAAAAAAACGAAACAACTAAAATTACAAAGTAACCGAGCGGAGTGTCGGAATCGTGGCCATTTTCAGCAGACAGTCCTGTTGCAGGCGTGTAGCGAAGCTGAAAGACGCCGAATGTATCGGCACGCCGCCACTGTTGTGCTTGATCCGTAACTGCCTCCACGCGGCGGTGTTTCCGTGTACGTTGCCATGGTCGTCGTCGTCATCGTCATCGTTGGTGGAGCAGATGAGTGCTCCAATGTCGCAAGTATTCTCAGCAAAGGGTAGATCTTCTTCCATGTAGCTCTTCTGCAGGCTGCTCAAATCGGAAAGCAGTTGTTCGCCGTCCTCCTGAATGTCCTCGCGCAACTGCTGACGCTCCTCCAGCGGGGTCACCTTGAACGCACCGCCGTCGGAAGAGTGGCTGGCGCGCAAACACGACATGCATATTTCGCCGTTCCAGATGTTGGAGCTGGCCGCACTTCCGGCAAGTTGCTGACGCTGTGACCACGGCGAATCGCCGCAACACTGCTCGCATTTATGCTCCTTGCCAAAAAGCTCCGCCATCATGCTATCGGGGCGTTGCTCCGACGACTCGGCATCCGAGAGCTGCTCATCAAAGTACGCATCGATATCATCGCTGTACACATCACAGTCGGTGAGTGTAAAAGCCAATCGCGAGAGTGAAACATCCAAGTCTGCAGCGTCTGTCTGACAGCCTTTATCATTCGGATTAACAATGAACTTCAGGCGCAAATTGTTGTTCGACAGATCCTTTTTATACTCCTGATAGCGCTTATTGCACCCGGACTCTTGCAGAAACAAAGTGCCGCTCTCGCTGCGCTGGAATGCCACCACGTCCAAGTTAGCATGAATGGCAAAAGTAGTGCCGTTGGCGTACACACGATTCTTGGCCTCGGCTTTTTCATTGATCGGCTTAAAGTGACTACTGTCCGAGTGCAAGAGATCATCTTTCGGCACAAGCGCATCCGCTTCCACATCTTCCACAGGTCGGGGACTCAAGACGGGCGCTTGATTAGCGCGCACAGTAAAGCGACTGCGCGGGCGAACCTCAGCGAAACAACTATCGTCGCGATTGTGATTCAGTTTAAGCAAACTTTTAGCTACGAGGCTTTCCTGTTCGTAACCATCAGACCAACGCTGCATTGTATAGCTCCACTCATCACCACCGCTCTCGTCGTCAAAGAACGACTGCGGCGGTGACGCCCAAACACCGTGATCAATGCGAATGTTGCTGAATTCATGATCCAGATCAACCGGCTGCAGCGAGTCCTTACTCGTGGACCAAATGGAACTAATAATATTGGTGCCACACTGCAGAAACTTATTGCTGCCCGTGTCGGTCATGTTCGCCAGGTTCATCAAATCGACGGGCATCATTGTCGACGGTGGCGATGGCGAATCAAGCAAGTCGCGAATATCGCCAAGCACCGGCAGGTCTTCGTACATCGCCTCCTCGTTCATCACGGCGGAGTGTTGCAGCGGTTCAGCCTCCCTGCGCGCTTGTTCTTTGTGCCCGCCAGCAACGCCGCGCGAAAAATAGTTAAAACGGTGCTTACCAGTCGAGCGCGCCTTCATTTCCGCTTCCTGCTTGCAGTGCAACTTTTCCTCCAGACTGGCGGCACCACGCTGAGACTTTTTACCCGCGATGCGTCGCTTTGGCGAGCCGAGCCACTTCGGTATAAAGTGGACCAGCTTCGGGCTCGGGTTCGAGGGAGTGCGCGCTAACGCCGGAAACGCGGCGTAGTAACGCCGGGCCGAGTCACGCTCGGAGAGCTTCTTCGGGATGCGGACGGCCTTTGTCTCCTTTGCAATCCGCGGTTCCTCGACGCTGACGACTTCACCCTCGCGCTGGATCTCCTTCAGCTTAGCACAGAGTTCATCCACGAGCGATTCAATGCCACATTTCTACCAAAAATACAAAATCAGTCAGAACAATTCTTCAAAAACATCACAAAAACACAAATACACACATAGAAAACAATTCGTGTTAATTTTCGGACTGTACCTGATCAGAAGCGGACTTCAGACATTCAACGGCTGCCGAACGTTTAAGTCGATCTGCGTCGGCATGCCCCCAATGCGAGTAGTCGCTCGAACGGCAGAGGCGTTTTCTACCGCCTCCAGCACGTCTCACTTCCTACGCAATAGAAACGACACATGCTTCAGTAATCTCTACCCAACATGCACTGCCATCCCTTCTCTCAACCCCAAGTTACAATAACAGTTTGGCCATTAAGAGGGTAATTATCGGATAATAATATTGACAAAAATATTTGCAAAACTACGCTCATTAGTAAGAGATTATCGACAATGGAAACGTTTCATTACCTTGTTTGGATGAGTGATATGGAGGTCCTGGTCGGGACAAATGATATCGACGGGGTCGCGGTACAATAAGCTCAAGACGTAACGCGTGTAGACGACGGCGTCGATTCCGCGCGCTTCCAACTGCTCTTCAAGCCAATCAGAGACGGCCGATGGCATGGACACCAGTTGCGGATACTTCATAATATATTTTAGCTACAAATAAAGCGTTAAAAACAGAATTATACAAAGCACACTTGTTATTTGGTACCTGCGATTGCGAAGGGCGACGATGGCCATGCGTGGACTTCAAAATAGCTCACGCGTGCCGGTGCGGCGCGCGTTCTTCGCTCGTTTGGCGCCTCCTTGGCAGCTTGGATCCTGCCGTCCTGCAGAAGTACGAGCGTGTGGGTGGCTGCGACTAACTATTGCTCTTCTCCTACACATGGTATAAAAAATTCTTCGTGGCTGGGCAAATAATCAGACGCATCATTAGCTGCTGCGCGTGTGTGTGTGTTTTGATGGTGGTGGTCGTTTTACTTCGCGAATATAAGTGTGTGAGCGTGTGTGGATTAGTCAGTAGTTTAGTGGTGTCTTGTTTAGTTGTTGGTAGTTATTTAGTAGTCGGTGTCCTTTTTCGTCTTCTTGTTGCAGACCCCCATCGTAACTGCTGGAACAACAAATACAAGAAACATGAATGACTGAATAATAGCAACATGTATTTTTTTTTCCTTAATTATAGCGCACGAATGCGAGTAGACTGCACGCGCAAAAATAGACTTTCTCCTTCGTCGGCTGGCGCGCGCGTATCGAACAAATAAATAAAGTGCGATGCAATTACGGACGACTCTTTGTCGCTGACGATGTCTGGCGACCGTCTAGGCCTATTACGGGCTATAATTATCGTCATTTAGAGAGAGAATAGTGTGGTGTGTATGTGTATTGCACTAGAATACAGTAGATTTAATACTAATTTCATTGTTGTGACGTTTGCAAGGCCGATGTGCATGCATATTGCACAATGTACCGCCGAATTGCACGCGAGCATCGTCGGGAGGGCCGTCACCACGTTAGGATCAGAACAACGGCAATTATGTTCGTGTACAGGCGCGCCATTGACGCAATTCGCGCGTCTAGTTGAAATAAATCCATGGAGGGTTTACCTTACAAACGGGGCTGATGTTCTGCTGCCGAAAATCCACCTCAACACACCCCACAGTTAACAAAACATGGCAGCCAGGCACAATGGCCAAAGTGCCAATCGGAATGAATCCCGCTCGAAGTGCGCTTGGGCAGTACGCCAAGGCCGTGCGACGCGGATGACGCAGTGTTCGGAATCAGACGAACGCGCACGACATCCGCCATTGCATGAACATGGCAACAGCGCATTACAAACAAATTTACAAATAACAAACACATCCAATTGGAATAATAGATTTACAGAAACATTCTTACAATATAATATACAAAACTTAAAAAGATCCGGTTTCTAATCGCGCTTGCTGCATCAATGGCAACAATTCATCTCGAAATAATCTACTGGTATCACCATGTGTTAACTTGAGATTATCAAACGCCAGTTTTAAATATTGCAAAGCATCATTACACTTTGCCTTGTAGACTAAAATCTTCCCCAGTTTCAAGTACAACAACCCCAACAACGGATGCACATCCCCATAGTACATTCTATAACAAAACATTAATAAAATATGGAATCCTCATAAAAAAACTAATCAATATACTTGTATCCATCGATTAATTCCGTTGCAAACACTTGCGCATCCTTCCACTGACCGAAATCGATGCTAGCCTGAAAGCCCAGGTCCAGAGTTCTTACATATTGACGATTTAACTTGTGCAGGACACCTTTCTGCCTGTCTAGACAAAATTTACACACATCCAGATCTAAACATAAGTTATTTTTATACATTTACAAAGAAAATAACTTAAATTAACACTTACAAGCCATATCCTGCATGTTTTTTAAATGTCCATCGGAGAATTCAACAATTTCGCGAAACTTTTCGATGAATTCAATACTAGCAGCCTCGCCGCAATCCTCACACTTGAAAGTTTTACTATTCACACAGCCAATGATACAATGCTGACATGCAGCGCCTGTAACATAATGACTGCTTGTATCCACACACTTTGGACACTGACAGATGAAATAATAAGTGTGCTGGAGTTCATCCCGGCGACTTTCCGTCGTTGCAATTACATCAATGTAACTAATATGTATCTACAACCAACAATTAATGAATATTTTTATGGAAATGCAAAAGATTGTTTTAAATAACTTACATGTGTCCAGTCTAAACATGGCAGGTCTTCAATCGCACGAATATAGAGTGTGGTGCCTTCAAAAGTCGCCACCGCATTCGGGCGACATGAATGATCAATCACCGACGCACCGAGATAAATACCCGTGCCCAAGGCGACCATTTCAGCGTCACAGATGTTGAAACTATTGACGCACATTCGGCCATACATGCCCATCAGCTCCGCTGAGTTGGGAAGTGATTCACCGCCGAGAAAATCGAATAAAACACCGCATAAAGATACAAAATGTTCCATTTTCTTCGAGTTTTCCTTCAAATCCGTGTAATCTAGAGGAAAAATCATGAAAAATCAAGTTTAAATTTAAAAACATCAAAAATACTAATTAAACTTTAATAAAATAGGTTTTAAATTCTAACACTTTGTTTATTTACTTACGTGACATGAGATCTTTAAACATTCGAAAGTTTCCTTCTGTATAGTAACTTTTCACAAGATCTCCACCCTTGCGGAGTTTCCGAATGAGTCGTGCAAGAAGTCGAGCTGCATCTGGTATCACCCGAGGTGCAACACGTCGCAAACTCACACATTCCGGCTTGTGAATTGACCATGCCTCACGCTGACAACCTTTTCCACAATAATACACAAACTGGCAGTTGGAACACTTCAATAACTGCCCTCTAAAACAATAAAATTTAGTTTTTTAAAAGTTTTTAAAGTAATATTTTAACTTTACTAACTTCTGAAAGCAATTGTCGCAGTACTGTGTGTGTAGTTTCGAGCTGAGTACGAAAACGAACGGCTGCTCCTTGAGTAAAGTTGTCCCGGCGCTGATTTTCTTTTGCAAACGCATCTTGCTGTCGTCCTCGCCGGCTGCAGACTAAAATATCAAGCAGGAAATTTATTTTATTTTCAGGTACCAGTGAATATTGCTGCTATTTATAAATTTCCTCTTTGCGGAATTCGAAAGAGGACACCAATACATATTTTGCTGATATATTTAAAATGACTTAACTAATTGAGCACACAGTTGAGCAGTAACTGTGCAATCATTATATTAGATATTACAGTTGGGACCAATGGAAGTGTTGTGATTTGTAATTTGGCATAAAATGCTGGCACGTTTCAATAGTCAAGGGCACAAATGCAACTGCAATAGTTATTACATAGTTTTTTTGTTTTGAACGACATCAAGGTGTTGGGCTAATGTGCAGTTTACAATTGTGCTATATTTAAAATCGTACGCACATTGATTGCGCGCGATTACTACGTGCGCTGGTTGCTATTTTTAAAAGCGGATGTTTTGAGGAAAGTCGTCAGTGGGAAACTTAAGGGGCCAAAAATAGTGAAGAAAATATAACCTACCATTTTGTTACACTGATGCGATTGTTAACAATCATAACAGATTTAATTCTACAACACACATGTAGTTATTAGTTATTTTCTGTATTTAAAGCTATTCTATTATTTATAAGAATTATTTTGATGATTATTAACATGTAACAATCAAGAAACAAACAACGTTTTTCATTTGTTTTCGTCGAATGTCACGGTTACAGTGTTGCCATGATTACTTTCTTATTTTGAATTACAGCACCACCTATGCAGTATTTTTCATACTATAAACACAATCTGTGTTTGACAATTCGGTCTTTCACCTACAAACCAACTTGCATTTTTCACTCAATCGAGAATTCATTTCACGAACAATTTTGAAGGAAAATTATCAAATTTCCAGTTACAGTACAGCGTAAAACACGTAAAATATCCTCAAAATGGTTCTGGAAAGTACAATGATATGGTGAGTAAATTAAACATCACTTTAGCTAACCTATAATGTCAGATGACTTTGCATCTTGTTCTCCTTTGTATCAAATATTAATTAATTTCTAAATGTTTACAGCGTTGATAACAGCGACTACATGCGAAACGGAGATTTCGTGCCTACAAGACTCCAAGCTCAACAAGATGCAGTGAATTTAGTCTGCCATTCAAAAACCAGGTCTAATCCAGAGAATAATGTAGGATTACTTACACTCGCAAAGTAAATATTTAAAAAAATAATAATATCATTAATATTAATAGAAATATTTTGTAGTGTGGAAGTTCTGGCAACTTTAACAAGTGATGTCGGCAGAATCTTGTCCAAATTGCATCAAGTAAACCCAAATGGTGACATTAATCTGCACACAGGCATCAGAATTGCTCATGTACGTATATAAAAATTTAATTTTTAAGTGTTAATATGTTTATTTTATCAGCTGGCGTTGAAACATCGCCAAGGGAAGAACCACAAGATGCGTATCGTCGCGTTTGTCGGTAGTCCAGTCGCTGCTGAAGAGAAAGAACTGGTTAAATTGGCTAAGAAGTTGAAAAAAGAGAAAGTCAACGTGGATTTGATCAGTTTCGGTGAGGAAACCATCAATACTGATGTCCTCACTACTTTTGTCAACACTCTAAACGGAAAAGTATGAAAACCATCATTTAAACCATTAAAATAACCAAATTATTAAATATTGCATTTACAGGATGGTACTGGTAGCCATCTTGTAACTGTTCCACCAGGTCCCCATCTATCGGACGCTCTCATTACTTCTCCGATCATCCAGGGTGAAGATGGTACCGGTGGCGCGGGTCTTGGCACTTCCGGTTTCGAATTCGGTGTCGATCCGAATGAAGACCCCGAATTAGCTTTGGTAATTTTATTTTATATCGTTTTTCACTTAAAATTAATCTAAAAATCCGCAGGCATTGCGTGTTTCCATGGAGGAACAACGCCAGCGTCAAGAAAGTGACGCCGCTCGCGCAAAGCAAGCATCTACAACGGAAAGCGTCCCAGCTGCTATCAAAGAGGAACCAACCGAAGAAGCTCTCCTAGAGAGAGCCCTGGCTATGTCCATGGAAGAAGACGCTACTGAGCCGGTTGGTTCACACGCCAGCGTTGATTTCGCTAACATGACAGAAGAAGAACAAATCGCGTTCGCTGTGCAGATGTCTATGCAGGATACTCGTAAGCACTAATTAATCCATAATCCTATTATTTCTATTTTTAAATTTTATGTAAAATATATAATAGAAAATGTTGATGGTATAGAATCATCGTCCACGTCGCAAGTAACTTCAAAGAAAAGCGAGGAATCCATGGATGTGGAAGGCGATGAAGACTATTCTGAAGTGATGAATGACCCAGCGTTCCTGCAAAGTGTACTGGAGAATCTGCCGGGTGTTGATCCGCAGTCTGAGGCCATTCGTCAAGCAGTGGGTAATCTTGGCAAGGATAAGAAGAAAGACGACAAGGAGGACAAAGCAGAGAAGAAATAAATCCATTTTTTTTATGAAATCCAGTACTGATCGTATCTTATCTGAATATTTGTGCTCCTTAAATGGGAGCTTATTACTTTACTTATAAACTGCACTAAGAATATATAGGGTGTATGATTTATACAATGTTTTAAATTTTTCCCTTGAAAAACATTAGATATTCTTTTATGGTGAGTATTTCAAGGACTTTACTTGCATATTTATGCATTTATATGATTTTTTGATGGTAGTTAATTAAATTTATTGTTTAATTACGTTTATTAGTTGAATTTAGAGGAAAATAGTTTTTTCTTGTTATAAACAACAAAAATCGACGGGAATTTAAAGTAAAATTATCCTTTTTATCGTTTTATATTAATATCTACATGGTTTTTGTACTTTTCTTGGTATTTGAGCAGTCAATGTATAAGTTTGGTTAGGTTATGTTATGTTAACCTTAAAAACCATTATTTCAAGAACATTACTTGCATATTATGCATCTTTATGACTTATAGATGGTAATTATTGGTTTAATTGATTAATTTTATTGTTTAATGACGTTTATCGGTTGTATTTATTAAGAAAATAGATTTTTCTGCTATAAACAACAAAAATCGACGGGAATTTAAAGTAAAATTATCCTTTTTATCGTTTTATATTAATATCTACATGGTTTTTGTACTTTTCTTCTATTTCAGTAGTCAATGAATAAGTTTGGTTAGGTTATGTTATGTTAACCTTAAAAACCATTATTTCAAGGATATTACTTGCATATTATGCAGTTTTATGACTTATAGATGGTAATTATTGGTTTAATTGATTAATTTTATTGTTTAATGACGTTTATCAATTGTATTTATCAAGAAAATAGATTTTTCTGCTGTAAACAACAAAAATCAACGGGTATTTAAAGTAAAATTATCATTTTTATCGTTTTATATTAATATCTGCATGATTTTTGTACTTCTCTTGGTATTTGAGCAGTCAATGTATAACTTTGGTTAATTTATGTTATTATAACCTTAAAAACAATTATTTCAAGAACATTACTTGCATATTATGCATTTATATGACTTATAGATGGTAATTATTGGTTTAATTGATTAATTTTATTGTTTAATGACGTTTATCAGTTGAATTTAGCAGAAAAATAGATTTTTTTTGCTATAAACAACAAAAATCGACGGGAATTTAAAGTATAATTATCATTTTTATCGTTTTATATTAATATCTACATGGTTTTTGTACTTTTCTGGGTATTTGAGCAGTCAATGAATAAGTTTGGTTAAGTTATGTTATTATAACCTTAAAAACCATTATTTCAAGAACATTACTTGCATATTAAGCATTTTTATGACTTATAGATGGTAATTATTGGTTTTATTAATTAATTATATTGTTTAATGATGTTTATCAGATGAATTTCTAAAGAAAAATAGTTTTTTTGTTTACAAACACCAAAAATCAACGGGATTTTTACAGCAAAACCAATTTATCCTTTTATTTATATTTATACCTGACAAGTTTTTATATATTTTGGGTTGTTTTCGTTTTTACTGTTGAAATAAGCCTGTTATCATCGCACGCGATAGTTTTTTTCATAAATTATCTGACTCACTACCGCAGTTACCTCAATATACTCGCAGCTATACAAAACATACGAAAATTGCATGAATATTGACGTTTTTTCATTGCGATTTTATCATAATGTATTTATTTTGATTCATCACTTTCTGTATCCGAGTTGCGTATGCACCGTCATCGTTTTAAACTTTGCAACGTGGAACAAATCAGTTATCAGCCGAACATATGAAAAATTGATTAAACGTGTTCGCACTTTGATAACTTCAGCAAATATAAGTGAATGCAAACGAAATTCACGCAACTTTGTAATATTTCGCAGTAGACTTACAAAAAGTAGGAAAAAACAAGATAGACATACCAAAAATGACGCAAGTTGATTATTATGGAAGCAGTTTTAGTCATTAGTTAATTGAAAAACACATTAAAGATTAAAAAAACGTGACTTAAAAGTTTTAAAAAAATATTTTAGGTTATGTTAACCTAACCTAATTTTGACATGCTTTGAACCCTTTTTGACAGAATCTTAACTAAATCACCACAGAAAATCACTATATTCACTAAATTATTAATTATTTTATGCTTTAAAGTAATAATAATTAAATTAACAGCCAATAATTAGCCACAATTACAATCACCCACCATTTTTGACATTATTATACAGGTAATTACTTATGTGGCAAGAAAAAAAACTTACTTAATTTGAAATCTCAAATATCCCGGCACTGATTGCCCACTCGTAGCTCGTTTTTATTTTCATTTTCGTCGCGCGTTGACTCGACAGATAGCAACGTACAGCGTTTCGGATCAGTCGGTGTCGGTGCGTGGCTCGTCGGTACATCGCGACTACAACCTCCGAAACGCCTCACATTCTTGCATCATCTCCAGCGGAACACACGAGCCACCAAACCCCGAAACATTATTATCACACACACACACTGCACATCTGCGTGCGGAATTATTGATACTCCCAAGTGTTAATCAGACGTTTGTAACCTTGCATCATGAGTACATCCGTACAATCGCGACACCTGACTTGTTACAGAATTAATTCCTGCTTAAAACGCTCCTAGAAGTTGATTAATGCAAAGTTTAAAATAACAAATAGTACTATTACATAGATACATAGCAAACTGCGCCAAATAAAATGGTTAGTGATTACTTTTATTATGTGCTATGGTTATTGGCGCACACGGTGGTCGCGCTAATTACACAAACTCGTGATGTTTACCTCCTGGTATACAACAGACTGCTACGCGGCGACAAACTGCCGCAGCTGAGGAAGCTACCACAGCATTTAACCGTGCTGCTGCCTTCTAGTCCACCAACATCACCAGCATCCACCAACTCCAAGCATCTTGACATTCTAGTTAACTTGGTTTTGTGGTCGCTTGCCACAAATATACAATATGTGTCTTTTTATGACCCACTGGGTAAGCAAAACACTTTAAAAACTTATAAACAACAAAGTTTAATTAATAATTTTAATATCTTTAAATTTTTAGGTCTTTTAGTTAAGTGGGAAGATGAATTAATGAAGAGAATTCAATCGAGAATGAATAAAAGTCAGAGGTTAATCTGGCATGGAGCAAATACAACCGGAAAGAACGGATTCGCAGGGCCGAAAGTGCATGTAAAGATTTTATCGGCTGGTCGTGCTTCCCTGGTCGATGCATGTCGACAATTATCACACACCGAGCAGGTTTTAACAGTGCCCATCATCAGTAAACACCTGCTGACCAACTATGAGTTCCCCGATCCGCAACTGGCGATCTATTTCGGGGAGTATTTGAATCTGTGCGGATATCCGCCGTGGCAGATTCGTCTCACTGAGTTTATACACGCCGGGCGCCATTTGCACGCGTTCGATGAGCGTGAATTCTTCTCGGTGCTGCAGTGTTATAGTAAATGTCAGCAGCGCGTAGGCAAATGAACTTTTGTGTTACAATTCCGTAGGATGAGTTGAATTGTTTCAGTAGCTGAGCGTGTGTTGGCTCAGTTATGCCATTAACGTAATTTGTACATTCGTTTTTTATCAAAACACGTTTAGTTGTGTACAGTCATTTGTAACATTATTTGATTTCAACTTAAACAAAGTGAACGCATCACTGGGAGATGTAATAAGTAATAAAAAGTGGAAAATAATAATAAAATGAGAACGCACGCATTTCGGGTGGGCACAATGTAAATATTTTCGTTTGTCTTCTTACGTATGTTTGCACGAAACGCACGACATTTTTATTGTTTGATTGATTTATATTTTGTTCTTGCGTAGGAAAATTGTTGCGTGTAATGTTGGTTGCCTAACTATTAATGCGCACAAGTATTTTAGCGTATATTTTACTATGAAGTTCAAAAATACGCACAATTTAACAATAAATCAATTTGCAATCATTAATATTACTAAAAACAAGTTGGAAATATTTAAATGTATGAAAAAATACGTAATTATGTAAAGTTCATGACTGTCCATGACATAACACAGTAATAATCAACTAATTAGCGATATCAGATGCCTTATCAAAATTGCACGCGTATAAAATACTTGTGAGAACATTATTGGTAAGTTTCCCACTTGAAAACTGCACATTCACCTTCATAATTTCAAATTACACGTCGCATTTCAACGTTTAACCTTACTTTCAATGCATTCCAACTTATCTTGATGTTTTCCAATGCAATTGTTAATTATAATCATTTCGTAATGAATAGTTTATGGGTCAATTAAAGCCTACTAACCGACAAGGTGGGAGCGGATATTGGAAGTGCTGCATCAGTACTTCACACTTCTTCTACTTCTTCAATTGTTAAAGTATGTATAAGTTTCATAAGAGAAAGCCAATTAACATTTTTTGACCACAAAGTTTTCACTTTTTTGTTGTTAGTCATACTCTGCAGATTCACCTTTCAACAACTATAAATAGTGATGAAACCGCTCAAAAATCGCTAAAAATGTCTAGAAAATTATTAAAACTTGGCGTGGCTGCTTCCTCACTGGGTGCATACACCTGGGCCTTGCGAACTGATCATGAAACAGTCAATTCCATTGGATTGATACGTTTATCCAGGGCAGCATACTCAGTTTTCAAAATATCCGTCATCTACCGCACGAATCTGTATGGTACTGGTCTGGATCATGAATCCGATGAGTATTTACAGATCAAATCAGCTTGTCATCGTCGCGGTGCCGAAAATCTCCTGGATTTATGCTGTAAAAACAAAGGAATATACATTAAAGTTGGTCAGTATGTTGCTGCACTAGATTATTTACTGCCGAAAGAATATGTTGAAACCATGAAGGTATTACATAGCCACGCACCGGAAAATACTCTACAGGATGTAAGCCGTGTCCTAAAAGAAGACCTAGGCAAAGATATCAAAGATCTCTTTAGTAGTTTCGAAGAGAAACCTTTGGGCACTGCAAGTTTAGCGCAGGTGCATAAAGCAGTGCTGCATGATGGTCAAACAGTGGCTGTGAAAGTACAACATCCGTTTATACGTAAAAATTGTAAAACCGACTTGAAAACGATGGAATATTTAGTGAAAATTGTCTCCTGGGTGTTTCCGGAGTTTCAGTTTCAATGGGTGGTTGACGAAACGAAGAAAAACGTGCCGATTGAGTTGAATTTCGAGATTGAGGCCAGTAACGCAACGAAAATCGCGGAATTGTTTAAGGAGTGCAAATGGTTGAAAGTGCCTAAAGTCTAGTAAGTAAAAAAGGTTACATAAGCATAACCAAAGTTATGAATACTAATCTAACATTAAAAATATTGAAAAATGTTATGTTTTCAGTGATGATTTGTCAACGAAACGTGTCTTAATCATGGAATTCGTCGAAGGTGGCCAAGTGAATGATTTGAAGTACATTAAACAGGAAAAGATTGATCCGTTTGAAATTAGTGCTAAACTTGGTCAGTTGTATTCCAAAATGATTTTCATCCATGGTTTCGTCCATAGTGATCCACATCCTGGTAATATTTTAGTCAAAAAGACTAAACAGGGAACTCTGGAGCTTATTCTTCTGGATCATGGAATTTACGCTGTAATTATTACTTTTTAATCGAGATTATTACAAAGTAATCATGATTTTTTCAGAATTTAAGTAGGAAAACAATGGTAGACTATGCGAATCTCTGGTTGAGTATCCTCGACCGCGACAGGACAAAAATGCGCACATATTGCAGTAATCTAGGCATCAGCGATAAAGTTTATCCGATTTTTGCGTGTATGATAACAGGCAGAACGTGGGATTCCATCATGGCGGGTCTAGAAAGGTAACCATGATATTCCTAACCTAAAAATTTACTAAAATTCAATGTTTTTTAGTTCAAAACGCACGAAATTCGAAAAAGACCGCATGCAAAATGAATTCCCAAAACTATTACCCAACATCACCGAAATCCTCAACCAGGTAAACCCGGAAATGCTGCTAATACTCAAAACCAACGATTTGATGCGTGGAATTGAATCCACGCTGAAAACCACCGCAAGAATGGGCGCCTTCCAAGTGATGTCCGAATGCTGCGTGAAATCCGTGTACAAAAGCCGCATTGACGACGCCCGCGATCGTTTCAGCAAGTTAACCAACACAATGGCGAAATACTGGCTGTTATTCAAGCTGAATATGTACTACACTTACTTGAACCTGCGCAGTGGTAGATTCATCTTCGCTTGACGCACGCCCGCATCAAAAAAACCACAAGTCTTCCATGATTTTTTAAATGAATGAACGTTTTGTTATATTATAAATTAATTATTACAATATTTTTAAACTAGTTTATCGTAAGCTGAAAAATCCTACTTGTGAAGACTTAATCCAGGTCCGCAGTGGAATCAAAAAAAAAACACCTAAGGAAGACAAAACGCAAGTTATTTCCGATTCTCGCCGACAATTCACGACTCTGAGTGATTCGCGTGCGGCGCTCACTCAGAGGTGAATGTCACATGCTTGGATTTGTATACAACCTGGGCGTGTAACTGTAACCTTGGGCAATGTTCGCGCAATCAACATCGTTTTCAATGCTTATGGGACCTCTTACCCCTACCGGCGTCGTACGAGCGTGAGCGCGACCGACGGCGACGGCTGCGTGACCGCGACCGTCGGCTGCTGCGGCGGTCACTGCGATAACTGCTGCGATTCGATCGAGATCTAGATCGGCTGCGTGATTTGCGACGCGTGGAAGAGCGTCGTTTGGTGATTGACGGCGAGCGTCGGCGACGATCTCGGCGATAACGGCGTTCGGATGATGAAGAGCTCGAGCGGGAGGACGACCGACTGCTAGATGGCGCTGTTGAACGTTTTTGTACTCTTCTGGTTGGTTTCGGGGTATGGGAACGACGATCTGGTACAAAATTCACTTAAAAAATCTTAATTTTCATATAAACTAACCAAAAAATACCTTGGGTTTTCCGGCGGTGAATTTTTGAAGAATCTGTACTTTCGGGACTCTCACGTCGGGGTTTACCCGCGTCGCCATCTTTTCAGCCTCTGCTCTGCTAGCCAGTCTGTTCTCAATCTCACGCTCTGTCTTCTCAAACTCTTCTTTTCGTCGTTTTATTGTATCCTAGTCAAAAAATTAGGTTAAATTTCATTACCATTACTTAACATAACCTCAAACTTACTTTGAGTTCATTATCCGAGTCAACTTCGGTCTTTTCGTCCTCCCCGCCGCCCTCATCACTGCTCTCTCCTGATCCATCATACGCACCCAGCCCTAAATTAAACCCAAGTCAGATAATCCCACAACTTCACCTAACCTAACCTCCCTTTCGAACAGAACTCAAAATTTCACAACATAACCAAATCGTTAAAGAATTTAGTGAAAGTATTGAAGACACTTACCGAGCCTGGCACTTAGGTTCGCACCTGCGCTGGGTGCTGTTACGTGCTGATCAACGGCTGAGGGTTAAATCACATTTTAGTTTCAACATTGCCCTTTGCGCTTGCTGCGAACGTAATAAACTCTACGCCCCCAGCACTAGCTTGGAGCGGCAGAAACGTACGCGCTATAACATCCACATTAAATGCTACATGCTAGTTTACACACGTGGCGCATGTATTTGTATTATTTATTGCTTATTTGGTGTGGTCTACTAATGTACTTTGGGGCGAAATTGTGATGTGTGTTGCATATGTGTATAAAAACAAACCTTTCAGTTAAATATATAGTATAGTATGCCAAAGAATGTTATAGAATCAGAAAACATTCATTTTTGCACTTTAGTACAAATTTCCTAGTTTTGAGACACTTTACTGTTTTTTTCTATATCAAATATTGAATGCTATCAAATATGTGATAATTAGCATGTAAAAATCGTTATATTTTAACTTAGTTACTCAATTTACTATTTATCTAAATGGAAACACCAAAGTCATAGATTTTTTTTCTAAGAAGCTTAAAAATGCCAATATACTGAGGTAAACCTCTAGCAGACCACTTTTTGGATGTATGAGTATTTATAGATTAGAATCTATTCAAGTACCTTGTGTTTAACCAGTTTTAGTGAATTCTGAGAAGTGACGATAATATTATAAATGAACCCTTATCTAAAGCTACGCAAAATACTTCACGCTGATATCAACGATAACTGATTAATAAAACTATATGACAATTTTGGATAAAATTTAGTCGACGTGGAGACACGTTAGAGTTGATTGGAACAATTTGTGCCCAACCTCATCATGTATTCAAATTGAAATTAAACAAAAATAACTTCATATTGCTGAAATCCAAGAGGAATTTTTGGCAAAATGGCCGGAAATATTTCCGTGGTAAGTAATAACAATAATAAGAAGAATTTCTGATATACCTAAGTATTAAATTCTAAATTAAAATAAAACTTCTTTATTTAATACTTGATATTGATATTTAATCAATATTATTATTTATTTTTTCATGTTTAAATAAAATATTGTGTTTAATGATGATACTATTGGGCAAAAACAAGTCAATTTACACGTTATCGCATTTTTTCCTCGTACGATATATGGCTGATAATAAGTTGATTAAATTATTTATTCTTTATCTTGATTACATAGTCCGACTACGTGTGGGTACGGCCGGCCCTGAACGATGAGTTTGCGATACCACTTGGCGGCCAAGTGGCCGCCATTGAACCAAAACGTATCAAAATCAAGACGGATAATGCCGGCGATCTATACGTATCGAAAGAACAAATTGTCAAATTGATGCACTCCAGCTGCGTCAAAGATGTGAATGATATGATCACCCTCGGTGATTTAACCGAATATTCAATTTTACGAAACTTGGAAATGCGCTACTACAAGAAGAACATTTATGTAATAATTGTTATAAAATTTCAGTTTTCAATGTGTATTAATGCTAATTATTTTAGACATACACTGGTTCTATGTTAGTGGCTGTGAATCCGTATGAAAAATTGCCAATTTATACAAATGCTTTGATTAGAGAATATCAAGGTATTCCCATGCATGATTTACCACCACATATTTTTGCTACTGGTGACGCTAGTTTCAATAACATGTTAAAGTCACGAAAAGATCAGTGCATTGTCATCAGGTATTTAAAATTATCAGTAAAAATATGTAGAATATGTTTTTAAGGAAAATATTTTAGTGGTGAAAGTGGTGCTGGTAAAACCGAATCGACAAAGTTGATCCTCCAATATTTGGCTACAGTAAGTGGCAAGCATTCATGGATTGAGGAACAAATTCTCCAAGCAAATCCGATTCTAGAAGCGTTTGGTAATGCCAAAACTGTACGCAATGACAACTCCTCTCGTTTTGGGAAATACATCGACATACATTTTGCTAAAGATGCCATTGTTGGTGCCAAAATTGATCAGTACCTTTTGGAGAAATCAAGAATTGTTTCTCTAAATGAAGGAGAGCGTAATTATCACATTTTCTATTCAATGATTGCGGGCCTTTCTAAAGATGAAAAGAAACGCTTGGACTTAGATGATGCATCACACTTTCGCTATCTGAATCAAGGCAAAAGTTTGAAATGTGAAGGCCGTGATGAACAACAAGAATTTAACGAGATTCGTAACGCGTTCAAGGTGTTGAGTTTCAGCGACGAAGAAACATGGATGGTGTTTGAGACAATGGCGGCTGTACTACACCTCGGAAATATTAAATTTAAAGGTCAGGTTGTCAAAAATATGGAGACTTCTGAGGTAGATAATGTGAAAACTTTGGAGAAAGTCGCTGAATTATTAATGGTGCAGAAAACTGAATTAGGCAAAGCTATCACTCGTAAGAGTATCATGGTTTCCGGCGATAAGGTGACACAGGATTTATCAAAAGAACAAGCTGCTGATTCCCGAGATGCATTTGTCAAGGGAATTTATGGCAAACTGTTTATCTATCTCGTTGAAAAGATTAATGTGACCATTTGTCAAAGTGGTAATTTACGCAAAAACTCAATTGGAGTTTTAGATATTTTTGGTTTTGAAAACTTTCAAATCAATAGCTTTGAACAACTATGTATTAACTACGCAAATGAAAACTTGCAACAGTTTTTTGTCAAACATATCTTCAAAATGGAACAGGAATATTACACCCAAGAGGGTATTAATTGGGAGAATATAAAGTTTATTGATAATCAAGAGATTTTGGATATGATTGGTATGAAGACCATGAACATACTGAGTTTGGTTGATGAAGAAACCAGATTTCCCAAAGGTACTGATACTTCTATGTTGACCAAATTACACGCTCAACATGGCAAAAACAAAAACTACATCAAACCAAAGTTTGACGTTGAACCATTTTTTGGCATTCAACACTTTGCGGGAAGTGTTAATTATCAGAGCGTTGGTTTTCTAGAGAAGAACAGAGACAGCTTTAGTTTAGATTTGAAGCAAGTTATCGCAAGTAGTGCAAAGCCTTTGATAATAGAAATATTCAAGAAAGATGATCACGATGAAGTTAAACAGAAAGCCAAATCATACACTTTAGCGTCACAGTTTAGATCCTCGTTGGATGTGCTGATGAAGAATTTGAACGAATGTCAACCCTTCTTTGTGCGTTGCATAAAACCAAATGAAGAAAAGAGGCCTAATGTAAGTTAATATTACTAATATTACATTTGTTTTTTTGTTTATATATTAACCACCAATGTTTATTTTTGATAGATGTTTGATCGTGACCTTTGCGTTCGTCAATTGAGATATTCTGGTATGATGGAAACAGCAAAAATCCGCCAAGCTGGTTATCCAATTCGACATCAATTCCAGCACTTCGTAAATCGCTTCAGATTTTTGGTTATTAACCTTGATCACAGGCAAGATCCCTTGATAGTTGCAAAGAAAATTTGTCAAGCCAATTTCTTCAAAGGGGAAGATTATCAAATTGGTCACACGAAAGTATTTCTTAAAGATGCTGAAAATCAATATCTAGAATCAGAACGACAAAGAATCCTTTCACGTTACATTATTGTACTGCAGAGAAACATCAAAGGTTGGATTTACCGTCGAAGGTATCAAAAACTTCGAGCGGCTGCTGTCACTTTTCAAAAATACTTCCGTGCTCGAGGATTACGTGCAAGATTCTTGCGCATTCAACGCGGTTATCACCGCCTTCAGGCGAGCATTCTGTCTCGGCAAATGACTTTCAATTTCAAGATTATCCGAGACCGACTGCGGAAATTGCAAGCGGTTGCACGAGGCTATTATGTGCGTCGACACGCTAAATTCGGCAAAATTGTTGAAGCAGTTTACATTAGAAAACACGAAGAGAAAACCTTAAGAGCACAAGGTAACAGAGATTACAAATACATTGCGGATACCAACTTCCAACAACGCATGCAGAATTTGGACAGAGAATACCAAGTTAAAGCCCGGCCTGCACCACCACCCGAACCGGAAGTTGGAGAAGACAGTGAAGGAATTCGCATGGTCATAGACAACTTTGACAAATTCTTAAACGAATACGACGGACAAAGCCCACAGGTATCTCCGACAAAGGAAATTAAATCACCCATTTATGCTCGTTAATTTATGTCTATTTATTTATTTATTCATCTATGCATAGTAATTTATTCTTTTTTACTGTATTAAATTATTATCACACAATTCAGTTCATTCTTTCTGATATACCTATTTTCGTTTAAAGCTGCAGCCGCAACACGCAAAGGAAGACCTCTCGGACTTCGCCTTCCAAAAATATGCTTCCATGCATTTCGCTCCATCAACTACGGATCACTTCAGTAAGAAGAGGTTGAGGGGTCCGCTTCATATTGGTCATAAACTGCCGACACCTGACGATATTATCGCTGCGCAAACTATATGGATAACAATTCAGAGATTTATGGGCGATATTGCTGAACCCCCCTTGGCGGCACCAGCCAAGAGACAATCTGTAATGTTGTCCATCAATCAAACAATTGGAAAAAACTTTTCCAACAGGAAAGAGTATCAAGATATTTTGAGGCTTGAGAAGAAAATGGATACTATGTCCAGAGACCAACGTCAGAAGTACATTAACAAAACATTGAGGAGGAAAGACAGGTTGTTGGAAGACTTGAAGAGGGGTATGGTTGATGATAATGACGGAATGGAAATGTACACCGAGTGGACGAACACCCGAAAGAAAACTGTCGAGAAGTTGTACTTTATTATTGGGCACGGTATTCTTCGCAAAGAACTACGGTAAATGTTTATTTTATTTTATTTTCATTTAAAATGGTAACATTATACAATTGATAAATATTACAGTGATGAAATTCTATGCCAAATTGTGAAGCAGCTTCATCAGAATCCAAATGAGTCATCGCGGGCTTTAGGTTGGATTTTATTATCCATGTGTATTGGATGCTTCCCACCGTCTGACTTACTTTACAATTACCTGCGTGCATTTATTCGCACATCAGCACCACCCGCGTATGCCGGCTACTGTGAAATGCGTTTGATTCGTACGAAAAAAAATGGTGCCAGGAGTCAACCGCCGGCCGCCATGGAAATTGCCGGTGCTAAAAGCACACAACAGTTAACTGTCAGCGTGCAGTTGATGAATAAACAAACTATTGATATCAACGTTGATAGCGCAACAACCGCTAAAGAAATGTGCGATGAAATAGCACGCAATTTAAACATTAAAGACAACGACGGATTTTCTGTTTTTATTACTTGTTGTGACAAGGTTTTGTCTATTGGTAATGATAGCGATCATCTTATGGATGCTATTTGTCAATGTGAGCAATATGCGAGAGAATTGGGCAAGTTTGAAAGAGAACCAGGCTTGTGGAAGCTGATCTATCGCTTTGAAATGTTCACTCCATGGTATGATGCAAAGGCAGATCCGATGGCAACAGAACTTATTTACTGCCAAATTATCAGTAGTTTTAAACACGGTGAATTTGGTTATCCGAATGATGAAATGTCTGCTACTCTGGTTGCGCAAAGATACTACATTGAGCAAGGTGCTTCTTTGAATATGAATGTACTTGATAATAAGTTCCATGAATACGTCCCCAAACACGTCAAGGTTAGAAGTAATTTAGACGAATTCAAGAAGAAAGTAATAGAAATCTTTCTGAAGCTACCTGCAGTCAAAGAGAAACAGAATCCAATCAGGGTCAAGGAAAATATTGTTAAGCAAGCCATGGATGCCTTCCCGATTATGTTCTCAAAATTCTTTGAAGCTATAGTCGTTTCCGGTTTAGATCTACCTAAGAACAGCATAATTATTGCAATCAATTGGAGTGGAGTCTTTTTCATTGATCAGCAGGAAAAGATATTATTGGATTTATCATATCCTGAACTTGTTAGGGTCACCTTCACACCTGATGAACGATCGCAAATGGGCAAAGTCACATTATACGCGGTTACAAATGAAGAGTTTGTTCTCCAATCCCCGGAAGCACACAGAGTTAATGAAGTATTGAACAAATTGCTGTATGGCCTCAGACAAAGATCACAATATTGTGTGGCTGAAAAAGATTGCAAAGATGATGGATATCTACAATTCAGACGTGGTGAGTTGATTACATTAGCAAATGGCATGACAGGAGCGGACGCACAAACATGGGCCACTGGAATATGCCAAGGACGGCAGGGAGACTTCCCAATGGATCATGTAAATGTCCTACCATGTCTTCAACCACCCTCACAAGAAGTCCTAGACGCTTACAAGAAAGGAATGTTTACTTATAAACACCGTAAGGGTGACACAGTGAAGAGATTGAAACAGCATACGTTAGTACAATACGCTGAAGAGAATTACAGAGCTGCCCGACGTTTGACAGAACAAACTTCTTCAGTATTGGGCACTATTGCAGCAAAGCAAACTGAAGAACTATGGAAATTCACCGCAAAGCCAATGAGACAAGCATTACTAAAACGTGTTTTAGAAGATCCCGATCGTAGTTTGAACACTAAAGCTTGTGAAGTGTTTATGAATATTCTAAGATACTTGGAGCTTACACCTGGTAAACAAGGTGAATCCGTGAAGTATGCAGCGGCTACTTTTGAACCCTGTATGGACAGTGAGCTACTACATGATGAAGTTTATTGTCAGATTATAAGACAACTTACTTATAACCCAATGGATCAATGCGAGCGAAAAGCATGGGAATTGTTGTACCTTGCTACTGGACTTTTCCTTCCAAGTCCACCTCTACTTGCTGAAGCAATGAAGTTTACAGATTCACGAGTTCATCCACTTGCTTCAGTGTGTCATGATAGATTACTACAAAGACAGGCTGAGAAGCTGACAAGTAGAAAACGGCCACCAGTTGCCATCGAGATTGAATCAATTCAAAAATCTCATACAGAGATATATCATAGAGTGTACTTCCCTGATGATACGGATGAAAGTTGTTTGGTGGATTCGTTCACGAAAGCGTCTGATGTTGCTGATGAGCTCAAAGCCCGTCTCCATCTTAAGTCAGTTGCTGGTTTTAGTTTGATTGTGGTTGTGGGTGAGAAGGCATTCTCAATGCCAAGTGATTCGTATTTCTACGACTTCTTATACGAAGTGTACGAATGGTTGAATAGCATCTCCACACAACAAGAGTACACTGTTGCTGGTATTCAAAGAGTCAAACCGCAATTGCTAATATTCTTCATCAAAAAGTTATGGCTTGATGGACAAGTAGGTGTGGACCGAAATGCTGACACGATATTCCACTACAATCAAGAAGTGCAGAAATACCTCAAAGGTTACCAGAAATGTACTGAAGAAGAAGCAATTCGTTTGTCCAGTTTGATCTTGCGAATTAAATATCCCAACCCGTTAAAAGATTTGCCTAATGTACTTGATCAAATTATTCCATATTACATCAATAAGACAAAGAATTCATCGTATTGGAAGAAAGCGTTGGCTGACGGTTATCAAAAAATTGCAACGATGGATTATGATGATGCAAAGATAGCGTTTTTAACAATTGTATCGAAGTTGCCAACATTTGGATCAACATTCTTTGATGTGAAAGAAGTGCAGCAGAGCGAACCGGAGATTATTGCTATTAATCGGAATGGAGTACATAAATTAAACTCGGTGACAAAGGTATTTACAGTTCATTAAAAGCTTATTTCAATACCATTATCTAATCATTATTTATTTGTCAATAGGATATTGTGATGACCTATAAACTGTCCGAATTGGTTAACTGGTCTTCTGGAAATACGTTCTTTTCGTTAACCGTCGGCGATATGCAGCGGACAAGAAAGATTTTATGGGAAACCACGCAGGGTTATAAAATGGACGATTTGCTGTTTTCCTACGCAGAATTTGCAAACAAACCTGCTAAGAAATCCGAACAAATATTTGATTTTTAAACTATTAAGCTGTGTACTTTTAACGATAAGGGTGTTGGGTGTATGTTGAAATGTTATTATAAACTCTATTTCAAATAAGTATGAACTAAATGTCAAATACATTTACAAAATTTAAAAATTATTTCGACGTTAGAGGGCGGCACCAATCGGAAAGATTCTATAACTTGCAAGCGGCGCTGTAGTTCGAGCGTTTGACAGCGAAAACTGCACTTGACGGTCGACGGTCGGGAGTTGAGTGAGTTGAGTTATCAGAAAAAGGGTTTTGTCACATCTCGTGCGTGCTGAGTGCTTCGAAGAAATATCTATGCTATCGCTAGCAGCAGCCCCGATGCATCGTGCTAGGTATGTATCGTAATCTAAAAATCGCTGACAAATTTATGCGCAACGACCTCGCGATCTCACCCGTCGGTCTCGACGCTCTGGCGATCATATGCAAAGCCTTTTGTTCGCTTGTATAATAAATAAATGACGTATCTGGCTTTTGAACTTGCTGCAACGCGAGTTCCGACTTGTTCATTATCACATCGCGTTGTTTGCAATGTACATCTCGAAAACGATCGCCAGCATTGAGGAAACGGCCGTCTATCGATTGAACCGTGTCTGTGTCTATTTACGTGAATGAAACAAAAAAAAGTTTCGACTACGCGAGTAACAGGCCGACGACAATTGCTCCATCAGCTTCTGGTACGTTTATCATTCCATTGTCTGCATTTTGAAGTTTATCGCAGATTTGAATAGTTTAGTGACTCAGTGTGCAGTAGTAAATTGCCTATTTATGTGTTTGCAATGATTACAATGTTTTGTAAGCACAAGTTAATGATGTGCGTATGTTCAGTACATTGTTGCAAACTTCAAGAGCTCTTGTTGCATTTGTTTTTTCTTTGTTTACATAGTTGAAGAACGTTTATGGTTCAATTAGTTATCAATTAGAGTAGGCTGCATTTGGTGTACGTGAAAAGGCGACCCGATGTTTTGAAAATAATACCGACCTGCCTGGTGATTATTTACATAAAAGCGGCAACACTGGTCGGGGCCGTTCAGCTTGTTCAGCTAACATCTGTATCAGGCGAGTGCATAGGTTCCCCCTTCACGGTGAACCTCCAGCGGGTGGGTGTGTTAGTGTGTGCGTGCGAGTGTGCAGCTGGTGGAAGCGAGCGTTGCAGCGCGAGTGACTTTCGTTCGTAGCAAGCTCAGCAAGGCAGCCAGTCGGGCTGGTTCAGCTTTTGCTTTCATCTGTGCGCGACTGGCCGTGCTGTGTGCTCGCCAGCAGCACCGCATTGCATTCTGAATTCGCCGCTCCGCAGTCATTCGATGCGTGTTGCGCTATCCTTGTGCATAACGCTGTTCTCCGAACGGTTCCTATCTATTTCGCCCAGCAAAACACTGAAAATAAATCCATATTATTAGAAGAAAAGTTGCAGGCCCGTATGGGCTGATTCGGTGTTCATGTAACGCCCGTAAAATCAGCATTTGCAAAGAAACCGATCCCCTTGCGAGGCGAAAATAAAAATGAAATAACCTCAAGGTAAATGCGTTTGTATGTATGCGAGCAATGTTGCGACTGTATGTGCACTTGGTACACTATTAATAATGGTTGTTCCTTGTTATATTTTTATTTATTATCGCGACAGCGCGCTGGATGGATTATTCGGAACGTAATGAAATGCAAGCAACATTTTTCTCTAATCAGTTGGTGACCTCACGACTGTTATTAATGGCTTTTGTTAAAACATCTCTCACCTTACACTTGTGACATTTCTTTGTTTTTGTTTTCAGCCAGTGAACAATTGATTTGTTTGTGAAGATACGAGGGAATGTGTGTGGCTGCAGGGTGCTGTGAAGCGAGCGTCTATGGCAGATCCAGCTAGTGCCACCGCTGGTGCCAGCAGAAGCCGCCGCAAGCGTGCGCTGCCACCACAACGTGCACAAGCTAAACGCATTCGTACTCAATCACCTACGTCTAGTAAAGTAAGTAATAACCGTCTCCAAATTCTTCTTGCTAATTTTGGGATTGGTTTGCTTTTAGGTCAAGTCGCAAAATTTAGTAAGTGACACACAACCTACCAACAAAGACGTGAACGGCGTCTCGACACCACTCATAGCAAAAATTCGCACTAACAACAAGATACATCAAGCAAAGTTAGACGCGAATAAGGCTGGTGGCAGCGGTAACAACGCATCTCAGCCGGCAATTAACAACAAACGCACTAAAGGCGATACCAATCAGGACGCAGAAACAAAACTTGGTGGCAGTTCAAGAAAAAACCACTCCAGCAACTTGCCGTCAGAACTCCGACCGAGCACTAGTAATAAGATAAAGACATCCTCGCCCGACTTCCCGGAGGATTCGCCGTTGTCTCTCGACGACGAGCAACATCCAATCAAATCAAAGTCCAGCAAGGCTCGTAAGCTCGCATCCGTCAGCTTATCCGAAAGTCTTCTGAGCAGCAGCGCCGGCCCGTCGAACAACGACAGCTTCGCCAGTACACAGCACAAGTATCCGCTGCGAAGTCAGGGACGACTCTCTGATCCCGGCGTCGCACATCGACCAACCACACAGAGTAAATCCACAGCGCTGGGGACCACCAGTAGTCAGAACGCCAGCAGGGAAGTGCCCGAGCCCTCTCGCCTCACTCGAAGCGGAGCTGTGTTGAGGCGCAGCACTCGAAATAGCAAAGGTAATCATAATCTCTTTACTCAAATGTTTAGTGGTTATCTTATCGCCTAGATCATTATGTGATATCAGGATAGAATCAAGTATCATACATGCGCTAAATTCGTTTCTTATTGAATGAATGATAGCATGTTATATTTTTGGGGTTCTTTCAGGGCACAGCACAACAACGGGTTCCTGTGCTAGTTCCAGTGGTGGCCGAGGCTCCAGCAGCAGCCGAGCATCCCGCCAACATAAGGTGGGAGCCACGGCTCCTGCCCCCGTCCCAGCCACCCCAATGGCTTCCGATCAACTAGAGGTGCCGAACAGCTCATTGCAAGGTAAGGAATGTACTAGTATTTACATGATACATATGTTTCTATTTCTGTAGCTATACATAAATTACTTCTACAGTAATTACAACTTCTTGATTTTTTTAAAAATATTACTTTAATAACACCTAACTGGTCGCGATGATAAATAGGCATTTTGGTGCATTTATGGCATATATCACATGCGCGTTGATCTAGCACCTATTTAGTTATTCTTATTTATGTGTGCATCGAAATCTTATGCCATATACAGAATTAGAATTAGTTACCCTCTATATTCGTGCGAAAATGTATAAATTATTTGAATAAAATTAAAATTATTTTATGTGACATAAATAATAAGTAGGTGCATTCTTGCATTTTTTGGAAATCACATAAATATCTATGTAATACCGACGTCATTTCATTTTCGTTCGTGACACACTCATTCATTTATTATTATGCAAACAACAACACAACAAAAGCCAATCTCTAAAATTATCTGTCACACAGTTGAAATTTACATTTCACTTGCTCTTGTTTATACAAATCAATATTGAGTTTATTTTCAACACTTTTAATAGCTAAGCGATCATTTTTTTTTGATTGAGATGCATGTGAAATTCGCTGAATGAGAACTCACGGTTGTCTCGGTAAATTTTTTTCACGTGTTCACTTTCACTCACTCTTCGCACATTCGAAGCGCCATGGATTATCTTGACTATTATTACGATCTACTGCAATATTACGAAATGACCGGTGTGACCCAACGTAAGATTTATGTTTGCTTTATTTATTTATTTGATTTGTAAAATTATTTCATCATGACATTTTATAATTGACTTATAAAAATGTCACTTTAGACAAAGCAGTTCTACTTAAATTCACAGTTTCAGAGGAGCCACCTTCACCCCAGGAAGCAACACAAGCGATGGCCAGTGGCGGGGGACCATCGGGCCCCGGTCCAGACTCAGAGAGTGATGACAGCGAAGTTGGTCGCTTACAGGCGCTCCTGGAAGCGCGCGGTTTGCCACCCCAGTTGTTCGGTGCGCTGGCTCCCCGGATGCAGCAGATGTTGCATAGGAGTATGGGTGCTAGTAGCTGTGAGTTATTTTTCTTCTTAATTATATCCTCCAAAAAAGTGATTAGGTTGGTGGAAATAATTAAAGCTATGTATTTATATATTTTATTCGTATCAGCGGTAGCCAAAGCTACACAACTTCTTCAGGGCTTACAAGCAACTGGGGATGAAGGACAACAACTGCAGGCTGTCATCGAAATGTGCCAGATGCTTGTGATGGGGAACGAAGATACACTAACTGGTTTTCCTGTCAAGCAAGTTGTACCGGCTTTAATTACACTTCTTCGTATGGAACACAATTTTGATATTGTATGTATTTTGTTTATAAATTTTAAAGATTGGATGGTAATTGTATTTCTTTAGATGAATCATGCTTGTCGCGCGTTGACTTACATGATGGAAGCTCTTCCGCGATCTTCAGCTGTAGTGGTGGACGCGGTTCCCGTTTTTCTCGAAAAACTTCAAGTGATACAATGTATGGATGTTGCTGAACAATCATTAACTGCTTTGGATATGTTATCTCACAGGCACTCGAAAGCCATTTTACAAGCTGTAAGTCTTTTTGGAATTATTTGCATTGAGGGTGGTATGAGTGTAACTCTTTTTCCAGAGAGGTGTGACTGCTTGTTTGATGTACTTAGACTTCTTTTCAATCAATGCTCAACGCAATGCTTTATCGGTGACCGCAAACTGTTGCCTAAACATGACCAGCGACGAGTTTCAATACGTCGCCGAGTCTCTGCCACTTTTGGCGAATCGACTGACCCAACAGGATAAAAAGAGTGTTGAATGCGTGTGCTCTGCCTTTTCAAGACTGGTAGACAGCTTTCAATTGGAACCCGCCCGCTTACAAGAAATAGCTAGCACTGAATTGTTGACCAACCTACAACAGCTGTTGGTTGTCACTCCGCCAGTAATCAGCACTGGCACGTTTATCACGGTATTGCGAACGCTGTGCGTCATGTGCGCTAACTGTCCAGATCTAGCGTTAACTCTGCTAAAACAGAACATCGCAGAGACGCTTTTATATTTACTCACTGGATCCGCTGAAGTAAGCCAGGAAGAAGTTGAACTTGTCGCTCGGCAACCTCAAGAATTGTATGAGATTACCGCTCTCATTGGAGAACTGATGCCGAAGCTTCCAACTGATGGAATGTTTGTTGTCGACACTTTGTTAGAACGGCCTGTAAATATCAGCAAGGATCAGCCAACCTGGCAGTGGCGGGACGACCGTGGTTTGTGGCATGCCTACGGTGCCGTGGACAGCAGAATGATCGAGGCGGCGCATACAAACGGTGACGATGAAGTCAGCTTGAATACGCTGGGCCGTACGTACACTATTGATTTTCATTCGATGCAGCAGATCAACGAAGACACGGGAACTTCACGTCCGGTACAAAGGAGATACGCGCCTTCCAACAACCAAGCCTCGCCGGCCGCTGATCCTGCACCGCCCGGTAGCCGACCAACTTCTGCAAATCGAGATGCCCGTGTGGCATGTCTTCGCGAAGAACGTGGCTTGGCGGCATCTTTTATTAGATCCTTATTTTCAGTCCTTTACGAGGTCTACTCATCTAGCGCTGGACCTACTGTGCGTTGTAAATGCCTAAAAGCTCTGCTGCGAATGGTCTACTACGCTAGTCCTGAGCTACTCAAGGAGGTATTGAAGAACCAAGTGGTTAGCAGTCACATTGCTGGAATGATGGCGTCAAGCGACTTACGCATTGTCGTCGGTGCGTTACAAATGGCGGAGATTCTGATGTCGAAGCTTCCCGATGTATTTGGCATTCACTTTCGACGCGAGGGCGTCATGCATCAAATCAATCAACTGGCCGATCCAGAAGTTCCGCTTGGCGTCAGCCCGCCGAAGTCTGCGAATTCTAGTACTACGTCCTGCATTCACGACTCGCAGGCCGGCCCCTCGCAAACTCCCAACAGCAGTAAATTGGATATGACACCAAACGGCACTTCGGTTCCATCACCAACAGACGGCACGCCTAATTCAGTCAGTTTGTCGCCTGTATCCTCCGAAACTGTTGTTGCCCAACAAACAGGTCAACAACCGCAATCGGTAGTTCCCAAGCCGTCTAGGTCGGGCACTAGCTTGGAGCCAGACACAAAGTCACAGAGTCCTTCGCATGTACGTATCGGTGATGTACTGAAACGAAAACGCGCGGGTAAACGAAGTAGCGGTGGCAGGTCATCGAAGTCTCGACATGAAGATTTACCTTTATCGCCGTCATTGATGCACGATTTGTTCAATAAGGCGACTTCTTTGGGCACAAATACGTCAACTTCTAGTAATTCAACAAGCAACAGGTATAGTTTTATTTAAATTTGTTTTCTACTGAATATTAAAATATTTGTCTCATTATAGGCCTAGATTTTCGGGAAATTCAAAAACGACGAGTTTCTTGCAGAGTTTAAATCCTGCGCGTTGGGGTCGAAATATGAATTCGTCTTCCAATGACAGAAACTATAGTAAAGAGATCGGTAATTGCTTAAATAAATCTTCCTCTAATTCTAATTTGACAGCAGGTAACAAGGAGAAAACTAGGCAGTGGGTTAGAGATCAGGTAAATTTAGCCCTTCATTATGTGATCTGCACTTTATTGACACAATCTTTAATTTGCAGGCGACAAAGTTTATCGATATATATTCATCAAATGAAATATCAGGGTCGCAGCATCCGGCAATGAATGTGCTTTCGAGATTAACCGACTGTATTCAAAGATTACCTACGAGCGAGTGCGGTGAAGCCTTGCAGGAGTTGCGAGAAATTCTTATCGAGTCCGATATCTCCCCGTTCGAAGTGAATCACTCCGGTTTAATCAAAGCTCTATTATCATATCTTGCATCCAATACCGGTAAGTAATTTAATGTTACAAATTCGTTGGTATTTATTTCGGGGTTATGATTTAGGTCCTATCGAAAGAGATCAAAGGCTACGCATCTTTCTTCACGTGTTTGCCAACTGCCCACTTCAAATGAACGTTACCGTACTAGATGATGAAATAAACTCTACCTGGATGAGCGCATTGGTGGCTAAACTGAGTGGTTGCGTATCACAGTTGGAACAATTTCCTGTTAAAGTTCACGATCTACCAGCAAGCAGTGGTGCAGGACGCGGCGGGACGAGTGCTTTAAAATTTTTCAACACGCATCAACTTAAAGTAAGTTTTTCTTTTCCTTCCGAATAAACTAATTCATTATATCGTGCGTTTTGTTTGTAGTGTAATCTACAACGGCACCCTGACTGCACAAACTTGAAGCAATGGAAGGGCGGCACAGTGAAGATTGACCCCTTGGCGTTAGTGCAAGCAATAGAACGATACTTGGTGGTGCGTGGTTACGGCCGTGTCAGAGACAAAGATAGCGCCGACAGCGACGATGCGGATACAGATGATGACATTGAAGAAACTTTGGCGACTGTCGTTATTTCTGCGTCGGGCTCCAAACACAAGTTGCAGTTTCTTATTGGAAACACAGTGCTACCATACAACATGACAGTGTATCAAGCGGTGCGACAGTTTTCTAACAACGGGAACGATCAAAGTGAAACAGACACTGACAACGAGACGCCGTTGGGACATGCTGGAGTGTGGATTCAAACTCACACGATTTACTATAGACCATTGAAAGAGGAACCCAATGTTTCACAGAAGTCTAGTACGAGTAGTTCGGCTTCAAGTCGAAAAGGCAAAGGATCCAGCAGCAAGAATGCTCTCAGACGCAAGGGAGATGAACTTTGGAATGAAGGTTTAACTCCAGCTATCTTGTCGCCTTTGACGCCGTTTTTGGTCACACAGCTACCAGAAACAGTGACGATACAAGATGCTTCCTTGGAGGTGCTCTGCTTGATGCGCATTTTAAACGCATTGAATCAGCATTGGACGACGTTATACCCGGCAATAGAGTACAGGCCTATCACGAACCCTTCGGAGTTCTTAAACAGTAAAATTGCGGCTAAAGCATCTCGCCAATTGCAAGATCCTCTAGTTATTATGACCGGTAATTTACCCAACTGGCTGCAGCAGATTGCATCCGTCTGCCCGTTTCTATTTCCATTCGAAACACGCCAACTACTATTCTACGCAACGTCTTTTGATCGCGACCGTGCGCTTCAGAAACTTCTCGATATGACGCCTGAATTAAGCAGCACTGACTCACAGGAGCGCGTCACACCACGCTTGGACCGTCGAAAACGCACAATTTCCAGAGACGATATTCTGAAACAAGCTGAGCAGGTAATGCAAGACCTGGCCACATCAAAAGCGTTACTCGAAGTGCAATATGAGAACGAGGTGGGCACCGGCTTGGGTCCAACCTTGGAGTTTTACACGCTCGTCTCGAAAGAACTACAACGTGTCGACTTGGAATTATGGCACGCGCCTGATAACCAAGGTGATTATGTGCATAATGCAGTAGGGCTATTTTCGTCCCCCTTACCAAGAAATGCCAAGGTTAGCCAGGTGACAAAGGTGAAGACGAAGTTTAGATTTTTAGGAAAATTGATGGCTAAAGCAGTAATGGATTCGAGAATGGTAAGTGAATAAAATAAAAAAATCAATTCTTTGGTGATTCTATTCCTGTGCTTTTTGTGTTATAGTTGGATTTGCCATTTTCTTTAACTTTCTATAAGTGGATTTTGGGAGGAGAACATTCTCTGGGTCTTGCTGATCTTGCAGAAGTCGCCCCAGACATTCATAAGACTATTAAAAAGATGCAACATTTGGTAAGACAACGGGACGCCATCCTTGCGAATTCTGATTTAAGTGTAGCTACTCAAAACGAAGAGGTAAGTTGCAATGAAACATTTACAAGAAAATACTGTAAAACATAACTTTTTTTATTAAATAGATCGAGAAATTGGAGTTTGATGGTTGTACCATATCAGATTTAGGCATCGACTTTGTATTGCCAGGTACCAACATCGAGTTGATTCGCAACGGTCGTGTCACTAGCGTCACTATCAGAAATCTACATCAGTACATCAATCTAGTTCTGCACTGGTTCTTAGTTGAAGGAGTCAGCAGGCAAATGGAATCATTCCGTGAAGGTTTTGAATCAGTGTTCCCCGTGCAGAATCTGCGAATGTTCCAACCCGAGGAACTGGAGGCCGTCTTTTGTGGCAGTCCAAGGGATTCTATAAGCGGGTGGGATGTGAAAACGTTGATGGAATGTTGCCGCCCTGATCACGGTTATACGGCTGACTCCCGTGCAGTTCGTTTCTTATTCGAAGTGCTCAGCTTGTACAACAGAGAGGAGCAGAGACTTTTTGTACAATTTTTGACTGGAAGTCCAAGATTACCTGTTGGAGGTAAATTAACCGCATTGAAGTGTTTGTAGTATGTATTTATGTAATTCTTAAATTTTGTTCAGGGTTCAAATCTTTATCACCACCCTTGACAGTCGTGCGTCGTGACACCAACTTAAATCCTGACGACTTTTTACCATCTGTGATGACCTGCGTGAACTACCTCAAACTTCCAGACTATTCAAGCATTGAAGTCATGCGTGAGAAGCTTAGCATCGCTGCGTCGGAGGGACAACACTCGTTCCATCTCTCCTAAGTGCGAGAAAGAGAAGTGCACTACTGTACTTGTGTGTGAGAAAATAGACTATATTTCAACCTCATGCAGAAGATATTACGATATCAATTTAAAGGAAAGTGGTTTATTAAATTACACTATTAACAAACACGATATCATTGGGAGAAAATGGCCATCATTTCATTGACAAAAAAGAATGAATTTGTTGTAATTATTTAAGTTTTTTTTGTTCTCCGAATTGTACATACTTCTCTTAATTTTTATTTCGTTCTACGCGTTTCTTTTGTGAGATACCTGCAAGCCGAGTGCTGCTCTTAGATTTTGTTATGTCAGGTGTACCGCGACCGTGAATTTCATTTAGGTTTTTGTGCGTTTAAACGATTAAGTGAGCAACAAAGTGAGCAGATGTGCCGGTCTCCACTACAAAGATAGCTTAAGCAAAGACTATCAGGACTATCTGCTCGTTTCGATTTTCAGAAGCGTCATTTATGATTTATTTAAGTATGTGAATATTTGTAAGACTTCGTAATAACATGATTTTAACGTTTAATTTGTTAATTTCAAGTTGTGTGCACCTGCGAACACTGGGCTAGACTGAAACACCTATTGCTGTTTCTTGAAATAGCAAGGAGCCAATGATGCATATTTAAGAGAAAAAGTAAATTTACTGCTGCAAACCAGCATTTATTAACTACTGTAATCATAAAGTGCAACTATAATGTTTCAATAAATTTCTATACAAAATTTAAAATTCCTTAAATTTCTTAACTGTGATACTGGGTGTTTTAGGAGGAGAATAGAGAGTTGTAAATGGGGACATTTAATTAAGATATGTCTAGAAGAAACCGGAATTATTTTAATTGTTTGATAAATACGATTTTTTGAGAAGTCTTGAAGAAACAAGTATTGACAGATAATAATTTTTTTATGGAAAGTTGACGCACTACCCTTCTAATTTGCTGTAACGATTTTCACTTTGGGACGATAATTCGTGTTTTGTGCGTTTCTTTTTAGAAGTTGATAAATGTATTATAGCTTTGTTGATTAATCATCTTCCGATTAGTACATTTCGTACTGGTGCTGTTTTTGGTTCTCGTCCTACAAAAGTAATAAAACAGCGATGACTTTATATAGACGAAAATATTCGCACCCACTATATTATTGGCGCTCATCGTAAGATCTCATTTTTATTTTCCTAGATTTGGCTCCGCATTTTTTCCCCTACAAAACAAATATTTATTGCTGCAATATTATTAAAACCGGAACTAAATTCACCTGGACAAAAACTTAACGTGACTTTCCATTTATTTCCTCAATACTCCCTTTCAAGTACATAAACTTCATGTCGTGTTTCCCATCGTATTCGATAGCCAGATTAAGTTGTTCGTCCTCGATGCAAGAGATTTTCTTTTTCCTTTTCTTCTTTTAGCAACTGCTAGCGCACTTTTCTAAGCTTCATAAGCTCAATTAGTTGCTAATTGTGTCGCAGACATGCTTCCTCTCTATCGTTTTCTATGTCGTGTAAAGTGAGTAAATCTTCAGTACACATGTTGTTTCCCATGTACACCGCAAATTCTGCACGCCTTGCGTCGGAACATCTTGCTTTATTCTATAACACGTTTATCTCACAACGAAGTTTTAATATGAATTTCTGGAAATAAGAAAATATTCTAATATTTTGATTCATAAATCAAAATTTCAACTCACAAAGATTTGTTTTGCGCAGGGATTCACACCGCGTAACTTCTGCACTGAATGCATTTAAACGTTTACAATATTCCTCACGCGAGTCTTAATAAAATCATTGCAACATTTTATATCTTCTTCCAGTACTTTCCAAAGATTCTCGGGAGTGTCGCAATTTATTCATCTCTTGCTCAATATTCGAGCGCATCTGCATCAACTCACAAAGAAATTGTTTAACTCGCTGCATATTGTCATCAGTAGCTTAAACAGAAAAGATTGTTACCAGAAATAACATCCCGTTCAAAATCAAGTATCAGCACATACTCAATTTCTGCGGTAAGAGCCACAATTGGACGTCTCGGATTTTCTGAATGCGTTGCTGCTTGTCCACTTCAAATTCTTGTAATGTTAATTGGTACAAGTTCATCCCTGGCACGAAGAGGCGATATTTTTTTATTAAAAATTGTTTCCGGCCCAAGGCTTTGCTGATTTCATTGCCCAAGCCTATCTAATATTTCAAAATTCTTAAATATTACTTTATCTAGAATTTCTTACTGAACACTTGCCCTACACTATGATGATAAAAATTGGTCCTGTACCTAGTAGCATAAAAATTGTTACGGCTATACCGCACAGAACCTGAAAGACGCATATGAATGCAGGTAGTACATAAAAACAATGAAATTATATTTATTTATATATTTTCTCAAACATATGCCGACCGTAGACAAACTTAAATTAGCAGCAGCTTCAAAGAACCTAGAATCTGAAATTTTGGATGGTATGCAGTTTCGTTGGCCCGGTTCTAAACGTTGACATCAGTTACGTCAGCAACAAAAACGGCATACGAGCAAGGTAAAAATATGTGAGAAGTTACAAGCAATTAAAAATTTTAATGTTCAACATTTGGGTGATACTAGATAACAACAATGCTAACTAGTGACCTATAATGTCAATATTTCTCTAGGCCTCAATTTTGACTGCAATTATGAATAAATCTCATATCACAGCTTCGAATGGGCCAAACGAAAAGGTTGTAACATGTACTAAACGCAATTTATGTATGTTTTTTATTATTAATTTATAGCTCAACATCTTAGTGCGACTTGGCAGCCAACCTCTTATCTCGTTCCTCAGCGATGGTGAGTTTGATACCCTTGCCGCGCGGCAGCGACACGAATGCCTTCGTACCCTTACCAATGATGAACACATTGTTCAATCTGAAAAAAAAATAATTGTGAAAAAATGCGCAAGTTAACTGATATTTAATAGTGTTCAATGCTTGGGTAATACTGCTTAGATATTATTTTGATCTATCAGTGACCAGTGCATCGATTTATTATGGGCCACAGATTTGAATGCAAATGATCTGATTGTTGAATCAATTCACACCTTCGAAGGGCCAAAATTTGTAACTAGTTCAAAAATAAATTTACCTGGTAGCAAAAGTATGTCCTTGAGCATCCTTAATATGCACAATATCGAAGGAACCAGGATGACGTTCCCTGTTGACGACAGTACCAACACGCCCCAAATTACGGCCTCCGGTGATCATGCACAAGTTTCCGGCGTCAAACTTGATAAAGTCTAAGATCTTGGAGGTGGCGATTTCCAGCTGGATGGTATCGTTTACTTTCACATTGGGATCAGGATAGCGAATAGTGCGTCCATCATGAGTGGTGATGAATGGAATGCCCTTAGGACCAGTTTGTACCCTCCTGACTTTGCACAGCTTGTACTAGAAAGAAAGCACATTACAGTAAACTTGAATAAATATTTTGAATATTTTGCCTAAGTGAAAATGTATTACACCTTAAGTACTAGTCTAATAATAATATGTATTAGCTAGGGACTGGGTTGTAACCTTACTATCGGCCGCATTAAAATTATACTCTAGCTTGCGTAAGTTTCACTAGCCAAAGCCTCGATTTGGCCATGACTAAACTGTGAATTGAGATATTTTCACTTACTTTAGCTTCCTCAGCAGTAATACGATGGATGGTGAAACGGCCTTTAACGTCATAGATCAGACGGAAGAACTCACCAGTCTTTTCAATAGTGATAACATCTAAAAACAATATTTATAGTTAATATATATGCCATGCAAGTTTCTTAAAAAATATTTATAAGTGGTCGTTTTATATTCAATTTATTGCTCAGAAGATCACGCAATTTTAGGCGAGATATTTTGATGTTGCAAATATAACAATTTACTTTATACTGATCATTCATAGTTCATCTGAATTAGTTGGCTTAAGGCAAATGTGGCAGTATGCATGTCTTACACATTTTAAGTGCTAGTCTAATAATCAAAAATATTAGCTAGGGACTGGATGGTAACTTGCTATAGGCTTCAAATTTAATAAACTCCAGCTAACAAACACTATTAACTGCAGCCTCGATAAAGCCCCTAAATTTAAGATGTCCAGAAAACAATACTCACCCATGAAACCAGCTGGGTAGTTGGGGTCAGTCCTAACCTTGCCATCAACCTTAATCAATCTCTGCATAACAATCTTAGTCACCTCTGAGTTGGTCAGAGCATACTTCAAGCGGTTACGCAGGAAAATCACCAACGGGAGAGACTCCCTCAGCTTATGTGGCCCAGTGGATGGACGAGGTGCAAACACACCTCCCAACTTGTCCAACATCCATGCCTTGGGCGCATTTAAACGCTTCAAATGTTTTTTCGGGCCTCGAGCCTAAAACACAAAAAAATATTTAACACGATATAATACACATGAGCACTGCATTATTAGAATAAACATGATGTATTTCACAGGTTATATTTTGGTCGGTGAAGGTATTTTAAACCACATCTAACTTATATCACAAAAATATGCACTCCTTCTTATTTCGGGCAATGAGAATAACGATTATTAATTTACACGATAGATATTGAACGCATAGTCGCGCGGATGATTAAAGAATTGAAGAGAATTTGGACGTGCAACTCACCATCTTGAAATTTGAGCGAGAAGAGAGAAAACCTCCGCCAGTGAGCTAGCACGAAATGTTTCCGGTCCCTACATTACCGGCAATAGTGTAAACAACAGTGTTGCCAACTTACGGCAACCCGCCATGCGCAAGGTTTGAAAAGATTTAAATGCACTTAACTTTTTTTATTGTTTTATTTCGATTTTACGTTGATAATTTAAATTATGCTGTGATTTATTCTATTTGACTATATATAATTAGGTCTTGATAAGACCTGACAGTACAATTTACTTTGGTTATCAGAGATATAATCGTTAAAATTATAAGTTTCATCAAATATTGCGAGGAATTTAATGGAATCTTGGTGGAGACATTACGCTAGAAGCAATAATTATTGCTTTAGATGAGTCTCTACCTATAGTATTCTCAGACACGGTCATTGTGTCAAGCTGTTGAGACTCCACATTTATTTCATTTCTGATGCTTTGCTTTATATCAAGTGGAAAATTATTATTACTGCACATATTAGTGCTGGATGGAATACTTTTTTTACTTGTTCCTCTCTTACAATCCGTTTCAGTTGCCGAGGTGATATGATTTGCCACAAGCGGATCCGACTTGCTTTCAAAACTTCGAATATCTTTGTCATTGCTTGCTTTCATATCTGCCATGCTTATTGTAGGCATGAATGAATCATAGCGCATTGATGGTTTACTTTCTTTGACATTTACCATAGATTTTTGTACTATTGAATTCATCACCTCGTCAATCTCCACCATGTGCGTTAAAGGAAACCATCGAATAAATCGTGGTTGAATTTTATTACTTTCGATATACAAACTTCTGTCCATCGCTTCTTTTAACTCAAGTGGAATATAATCGTAACTTGTTTCCTTCTGTGTGTTAAATTCTTCGACGATTTTACCAGTTAATGGAATTTCGCTTATCGGTACTGCTTTAGTAGTGACATTATCATAATGAATACAAGATGGGTGGGTATGTAGGAACTTCATGGAATTGTCGACGTCATTTATCAGCATGCGTCGAAAAGATTGAAGTTCGTTAACGGGCATTCGGAAATCAAATTCAGCGCTATTAACAATATTACTGAGCGCTGAAAAATGTGTTGGTTGTAATGTAATGTTTGTTTCTTCTCTTAAGGAATTATGTACACGTAGATCGCATGCTATATTTTTTTCATTTTGCCGTCGAAATCTAAATTCGGGTTTGAACTTTGATGGAAAAACTGCTGTATAATCTTTCAATCCAAGATCATTCTGAAATAGAATGTAACATCGTAAAATATAGTGAAATTCGCAAAAAATAAACTACCTAACTTCTATTGATTCAATCCAATCATCAAGTTTTTTACGTCCTTTCTCTTCCTGGTTGATGCAATCGACCACAAACGACCAATATTTATTAACATCTTTTACGAGTTTTAATGTTTTGTTGTCTAAATGTTTAAATATTTTCATTGTAATCCATATGGGTAACAATTGTAGCTAAGATTATATTATATGGTAATCTGATATTTTCAAACAAACATAAATAAATTCAAACTTACCATATCCATTTCCGATTTAGGTTTTTTCGTATCAGCTGTTTCACTTTTTTGAATTTTCTTGCCTTTTCCTTCTTTAAGGGTAGTGTCTTTCTTATTTTTACTTTTATCTGTTCTAGTTTTGCCATTTTCGCCTTGTTTCGCATTCTCTTCTTTAAATTTTGGGTCAGATGCACACCCATATATAGAAAACTCAACGTTTTTACGATATTTGGTAATCATTTCGTCCCATTCTTTTCTTTTCTTGTAAATCAATTGTACATCGGGATCGCTATCATCCAATTCTTCATTATAAGCATAATATCGTGCTGAAGGTTGAAGTTGGAATGAAAAATGTGTTGATAGTCTTGAGTGTCGAAAATAATTTCCTTCTTTTTCGTAAAACTTTTTCACACGAATTATTACTTTTCGGATTACACTATTTCCACAAATTGATAAATATGCTACAATAAAGATAAAATAATTCATGCACTCTATCGATCGTTAAATAATATTTACATAAAAATATTGCCAATTTTAGATCAATGTTATGCAAATATTTAAACCAGTACAAAGATGATTCAAAACATGCATCAAGTTCGTCGGGATCAATTGAACGATCGTTATCTTTAAATTGTGCATCGTTAATATTATCCGAGTAATCCCTGTTAAACAATTATAAGATGAATTATGAAAATGTTTCTGGTTTAAACTTCTTACATTGTTTTTAAATAGTTATACAGCTTCCCCAAAAAGTGTTTCTCTAAGATATTAAATATCATTCGTATAAACTTGTGTCTCTCTATTATGACGAACAGTTCATATAGGAATGCGACTTTTTTCGTTGACGATGCACATAATAAAACTCGCTGAGTCGTTGCATACGTGCAAAACGTATAATGATTTTCCAGATCAGCAGGGTCCACATTCGCTTAAAAAATGAATTCATTACTTGAATGTTGAAATTTTATACGTTCCTACGCACCTTCTTCGTCTAGTTCATTTGGTATTAATGTACCATATATATTTCGCGACGGGATCATCTTTTTATATAATCAATTTTAAAATAGTGGTAAATATATTAAAAAGGAAAATTGGAGAAAACATTCGTAGAATATGTCAAACTGACTTATTGACAAGTATTTTGAGCAATTATACAGATTGTTTCGTTCTAAAATTAACTAACGGCTACTTAGACTATTTTAAGTTTGGTTATGTGCAAATATATGAAACTTATGAAAATTGTTTTGCATATTGTGAATTATGCAAGTTATAAATTATATATTTAATATCTTAGCAAAGTTAATTCAATATGTTTACAACATATAAGGTGTATTAAAAGTTGCATAAGATGAACGCGTATTGAAGTTATTTCTAAAAACTCAAATAGACAGATACTTTTTTTAAGAGTAGGTACTTACCGTGTAACATTGATGAATGCATCTGAAATTCAAGTATTTATGAAAAAGTAATGAATATGAGCTATAGAACTAAAGATAGTAGCAATTAGGGTCGTCTTAACTCAACACAAGATTACAATGATTCATTATAGTATAGAAATATGTATGTTTTACGTTAAAAATTAGTTTTGTAAAGTATTTAGAGTAGAAAAGCACGTAAGAGCGTAAGAACTGGATGCGAGAAGAAGAGCAAAAACAATTCAAATCCGTACCACATGAAACATGTCAAATAATTTGAACGCTTACAACAAAAGTCCCGAAATTTTCTTTATTTTTATTGTCGCTTATCAATAACTGCACTATGTATGTTCTTCTACCTAGGACTAATAATATGAATCAACAACAATTATTTCTCTCCTAGCTGGTATGTGTTTATCGATGTACTCATAAGAATCATAAGAATCATAAGTAACACATTCGCTTAACTATGCTTAGGTAAGTTTCGGTACGTTCATTTGAAGTTTTATTTTCTTTTTTTGGTGAAGTATAATCGTATAACATTAATGTTATCATTGTGCGTTCAGTTAACAAGTAACATCGAAAAGAAACAGCAAGTTTATCTCTATCGTTTCGCATTTCTCTCATTCGTCAATCCTCACATTCAGAATGTTACAATGCAAATATCTGACTCTTTCTAACAAAAAAAAACTTAGAAGATAATAGCAACAAAAGAGGCGTTAATTAATGGTCGCGCGTCGAGAGCAAAATCAATGTAAAGGTACGACTTAAATTCCAACATGTAATTTCTCTATTATCAATTTATTTATTTCATCATCATTCATAATAATAAATACACAATATTAATATTTATAATTAATAACAAGTTCTTTGTTTCTTTTTTGTTTTTGGCAATTTATTCTTAATTTATCCTTATTAAGTTTTTTTTCTTCAATTTTATTCATTAAACCGTCATTTCATTTTATAATTTAATATTTATAAAGTTTATTTTCTTTCATGTTTCTTATTGAGTCAGATATTTGTATATTTATTTATTTTCTTCGTAAAATATGTCATTTGCAAACGTTGGACAAAACTGAAAGTATAGGCTGAAATCAATGAATGAATTTGGCAATTTGGCAATGATGATTTTCAGAATTCTTTGCTGCGCTTTGATACCCGAAAACGTAAATTGCAAACTTCGGTTGAACGCGCAAGGACGATGCAAGCAGAGAGATATACAGAGGTCACTTATAATATATATTTATATATGCACACAAAAGTCCTACGTTTATGTTCCTAAGGCAATTCTCAAATCAAGTGCATAAACGGTGGTTCGACTGTTGATGTAGTTGCGCATGATGTTATGTAACGCGTTTTCCTCGAGTTGTGTGTTTCGTCATCATCGAATAAGTCAATAATTATTAATATTACAATTAGAACGCTACAAAAAACGAATCGTCTTTATCTAAAAATATATACTTTCTATATATTTTTTGTATTGCGTATTAAGGCTTGGCCATTACGTTGCCCTTTTAATGTCGCGGCTCTTTCTCATCGTTTCGTGGGTTCTCCTCCTCGTAAACGCTGACATTTAACATCTAATTACAGACAAAATCGTAACGAAAACGCTCGAATCACACGTAGAGATAATAAATTCGCGCATGTGTGTGTTTTGTATAATTGTGTATGTGTGAATGTGTGTGGCGTGTGAATTCCCAATTCAAAGATTTGCCAGCGCGCGCCACCTGTATGCAATTCGCAATGAATCAACTAAAGAATTATAGGTTACGTCAGCTTGCATCGTACTTGTCAATCGCACCGCGCGGTGTGTCTCTTTCAGTTTTATGCGAATTCCTTGTTTTAATGAATATCCTTGCGTTATCATTATGTTTCATTTTTATCTTTATAGTTAATCTTATTTCCGGAGATCTCTCTAAAACGAACACAGCTAGTAACACTTTGACCACTAGCGAAACACTCGTGCGCTTGCGGACGAAACTACAGTTGAATCGTATAATTTCTCAATTATATATATACGAGTTTTTACTTTTCTTCCTCTGCTTCAATTTACAATAGATTTCTTCAGCTTTTGATTTCTGTACTAAAACATACGCACACAAACATTTTCGTTCCTCAAATTTCTCTTGTTCATTATCGTAAAACATGAAATCATGTGGACATGACGCATTTCATTTAATTGATTTTACTTAATCGTTGGTGATAAGGTTCTTACGTGTGTATACAGTTCTCTACGACGCGTTTAAACTCTACCTCGATTGTTACAAAACGAATTCGAAATGATATATATACCTAATCGAACAATGCCGATCAGAGTGCAACCCAAAAATGTGTGAGACGAAATTTTGTTCCCACTGTATTCAGAATACAGACTCAGATGAACTTGCATGGATTCCACTCACCCTGCTGTTGAAATCCATAGCAATGTTTGCTCAAAATGAAAGGTTGCAACACTGACGATGATTATTTTTAAGTGATTGTGAACTCAGAGTGTCAAAACGTGTCCCCAATTCGTTTCGAATAGTTTTATTTATTTTTTTCATCATTTTCCCTCAATTATAATATTTATAACTAAAAGCGAACGAATATACACAGTATATCATATTCGCCTTCATTTGGGTCATCCTTAACTCTTTGTAATTAATTGTTTCTTCGTCATTTTGAATAAGCCCTTAAATACATTTAATACATTTTTACCCTGATTATAAATTATTATTTAATAGTAAATACAAAATCGTTTTTTTTTTTCTTCATCGCATGTATCATGTATCTTGCGTGTACTTGTGTTGCCGTTAGTTGGTTTAGTATTTGCAATTCGCAACATTTAAAGTTATGGATACTCAATTAGTCATATGAATTAATATTATTTTCATTTTATTCAATTATTTATATTTCAATAGTTTCATAGAGCGACATAATTATATACTTTTTTGTTTTCATCTTCTTTATAGGTACGGCACTAAAACTAACTAACTTTTTCATCATCATTATTTCATTATTATTTATAATAATAACATTACAACAATTCCTACAAAACTTTATTTTATTTTTATCAATTTCATTAATTTTTAGATTTATTTATATACTTTTTTCTTCTGTTTGCTTTAATTCACAAATTCACAGTCACTTAAAACTAAGAACTAGCGTTCTTCACATAATTAACAATCAATCAGAGAGCTACTAGCTGCGTGTATAAATAGAATGTGAATCATATGAGAAATCCAATCGAAGAATGAAGGCTTCAAGCCATGGCCTGCGATCGTCGAATTCGGACACGAGTGCTTGGCATGAATAGGCACTAAATTGATCACAAAAATCATAGCCTCAAAAACCACCATATAAAAATATGATCAATGATATTTCTCGTATAATCAACGCTTACGAAAAACGTACATATCGTTTCGGCAGTGTGTTCAACAAGTTTGAGGAGTTCAAAATATTGTCCGAGAAAATCAATCGTATATTGCTTTGTGGACATTTGTTGGTTGTTATTTTTGTTATTGGTTTTAGTTTTACATCCATCATCGTCGAAACTGAAAGGTTTTGCATTGTGCGCTTGTGTTTTATTCCGTATCGAAATTTGAAAGTTGAAAGCATCGTGAAATCGTCAAACGAAACGTGCCATTTTCTGCGTTGTTCCGAATTCGGCTATCGCCGCGTGTCAACATTGTCAACAATAAACCAAGAGTCGTGTGCTGCGCAAAGAAAATGAGACTTTACATTATACGGATGATATATTTTCATTTTTGACTAGCACTCAATAATAGCATCTTGTCGAATTTCGAACAAATGCAAGTAATCTGTTTCGTTTTTCTTTTTTTACTAAAATATTGGCCTGTTGTTTGTTCGGTATTAGTTTTGGTGGTTGTTGTTGTTGTTTTTTTTTTGTTGATATGAAACAAGTTGTGCAAGTTGTGCTCGAAACGTTGATTAGTTCGTGTTTTGCGATCGATGGGAAACTCAACTCAAACGAAAATCCTTCTCGTGTGCGTGTGTCAGTGGTGTGTGAGTGGCTCGAAACGTATCATTCGGTCATCAGGCATAAAATTTGAGGTCGTGCGTTCATGCGAACACGTGTGTGCGCGCGTGTGGGAGCGCGCCTCTCCCGAATCGAGAGATCTCCCCCATTCGCACGTGGCACAGCATTTTTGGTGTTTGATGATAATGATGATCGAACAATGTTAGCGATAGATAAATTATTTACTTCGTTTCATTCTTCATAATATGCTGATCGTAAAATTTCTAAATGTGCGACTGTTTTTTTTACATTACAACTTCTCTCCGCTCGTTAATTACACCCTTAATTAATTATATATTTCATTTTAAAATATCACTAAGCACTCGTGAAATTTATACTGATGGCAGTCGGGAAATATATCTTCATATTTGTTTGTTTCTTCATGGTATTTTCTTCATCTTCATATTACATTAGTTTAATATTTACTTTAATCTCGATAGTTATTTCTCGTAGTAATATAATAGTAGTTCATAATATTTAGTTAGTTATTCGCAATTTGCATTCACTATACAATCGCATATGTATCTAGTCGTAATAATATTATATGCATATTTGTTAATCGCAAATGTCTGCAATGTGGTTGCTTCGTTTGCGTTGTGTGAGTGTGTGGTTTATTTATGCTGTCATTCGTTAATCGGTGCTGCAATTTTTATTCGAGTGAATCAACGAAAGTCTAACTATCGACTAAAAGTTGAATATTGATTCTTTTTTAGATCAGACGTCACATTTGATGTCATGTCGTTCGTGTATACCACCTAGTTTTTGTCTGGGCTGCTCGGCAATGTCGTCTTGTACTTGTTACATCCTCGCTTCCGCTCATTGTTTATAAATATTTATTCATAAATAACAGTTTGTACGAACGGTGTGTGCTTGTTTGTAAAAAATATTTCTTTCATTCAAAACTTGCAGAAATCATAAGTACATATTTGACGAATGGAAAACAACATTGGAATTGTGTTCTTAGCTTAAAAATAATGATCGTTAATAAAATTATCATATCATCAACATCAACAATTATAAGTATCATCTCAATAGTCTTCGTTTTTCTCTGCATCGTCATCATTATTATTTGTTTAATACTCATTTTGCAACAGCCACATTTGTTTTTGTAATCAATTGGATAAAATGCGAGTCAATTCATACCGAAAAATGAAAGCGATGAACGCTAAAACTAATTCGTTACGAAGTAATTTTACAAGTAACCGTTGCAACAACGTTTCGGTGCGTTCAAATTGTTTGTGTGTGTCTGTTTTAATATCTTATTTAATTCCATTGTTTATTCGATCGTTTAGTTCGCGAACGCGCGGTATTCAACTGACTCGTCACTCGCATTTGCAGTCCTAGACAAATTTTCTATGTGCACTTGAAGATATCTTTAGGTTTTTTGTATTTCTCTTATCGGTACGTGTTTTTTAAATACTTGTTTTGTTTCATTATCTTTATTTATTTATTAGTTTCTTTTTCTAAAAGAGTCCGAGCGTGTCGATTATGATCGATCAGTAACCAGTGGCCAGGCGCCTCCACATTTAATAACAACATCTTAAGCTATTATTATTAACTCTAACAGGCATTTTTATACGTTCTCATAATTTTTTCTCATAAATATACTTCTTTTACGAAATGAACGAACGAAACGTACGCATAAGTGAACGTAAAAATCTTGAGAGAACAACATTCTATTATAACACTTTTTTTCATTTTTATTTTAGATTTGTGACGTGCCGTCCGCTTTGAAATCGGAACCAACACACTTATTGTTATACTGAATGAACTACAATTGTGCCGCTTTGCTGTTTCGCCGCTGCCGCTGCTGCTGCTGCTGTTGAATTGTCGTCGGTTTGCTTCCTCGGCGAAAGCAACGATGTTCGATGATGCTGTTTTCGGGTTATCTTGTTTCTCTGCATTAGATTATTTGTATATCGACATTTAAACCTTTCGACTCGTTCGCATTAACGTGGGCTACGGTGGGTGGTGAGATTCTGCTCTGTGGGTGTGTGGTGTGTCTGCATGTGTGTTAGTTTGCTATAACTTGGTGTCCTTCTTTTCTAAGGCCATGTGACGTTGTAGTTTGTAGTCAATGTGCGAATTGTGTCTCGAGTTGTGTATCAATCGGTTTTGTTCGGCAGACAAAAGGCTTCTTCCCGTGCCGCGAGGCTCACTTCGACCAGCACTCGAATCGACGATAATCGACATCGTCGTTCACGCGTCTCCGCTGCGTTTTTAGTTAGTCATTACGTAGTAATAAGTGTATAATTATTATTTGTTCGTGTGTCGCGTTCTTTGGCTCGTTTTTGGCTTTGTTCAGTGTGAGAATACGTGTGGCACGATGTGTCGCGATGTAAGGATGTGTGGGTGAGTGAGTGTTAAACTGTTTTCTCTGAATATGTACCTATTATGTGTGTGTGTATGTGAGTGTATGGTGTACTTGGTGTCGCTCGAACGGAACACATATCGCCTAGCTCCCCTAATTCTATGACCACGGTTTCCTCCACTTGGTCTTTATCCGCGTCAGTAACAGCGATGTCCGCACACTGGTCGCGCACAGCATATTAACCAACAAGTGACGTACTATTAGGTTATAAACAGTATTTGTAATCGAAGTTAGAGAAATTATTTGTTGTGGTAGTATTTGTATTAGAATAATCCATGCGGTCCACAATGGTAGCACTTCGTTTAGAGTCCTGCTCGCCGACAACGTCTTCGCGGCGCCGGACGAGGCGCCCGCACCGCCGCCGCTGCCGCCGCCGCTCCAGCAGCTCGACGTGCTGTTGCCGAGGCCCGCTGAACAGTTGACCGGCGTCGCAGCGATGTCGGCAGGACCTTTCGGGCAGTTGATGCACAGCGACGATCCGAGCCCGTCTCGGCCGGCCGTGCCGCCGCAATTGGAATAATTATAACAACAGTCTTCATCTCCCACCGAGGACTTGAGCCTCTGATCTCCCGTCTCCGGGATGTTCGGATCTGAAAGCACGTCAGTTAATAAAATGCATCAAAATACCTACAGAACTATTTAAATACCAGCAAACAATTTCTGACCAAATTAAATGGTCAGTTATTCGACAACAATGACCGAGTAAACTTTATAATGTAGATACATACTATATTATTGATCACTTTTAACAGTGGTACTACTCCCGTTATAGATTGACGCCGCCTAAATTATTACCGTACAGTCGTCAAATTGAAGCCGCAAATTGTTTTAGACGCCGAACGTCAAATATCGGACCACGAATCAAATCTAACTAACTTTGAGCGTATCACTCCAAAACGGTGTTGGAAAGTCAGACGCTGTGCAAGGAATCGAGGTTTGATTTTATAATTGCATCAATACTTTTGACATCTTGACGTGGTATCGGCTCAAGTAAGAATGGACCAGTTACAAATAAATAAATACAAAGTGTTTGGCAATCAATTAAATATTATTGGTAAAACCCAAGGGTTAAATTAAAGCTTAATATCAAGTTAATACGATGATAGAAAGTGTTAGTTTTAAGGTTAATTAATTAAGTTCCATAGATTTCACCTCTCTGTTAATGTTTATCTATTGAAGGTGTATCGAATATTGGGGCTCCACCTTACCCCCAATATGGGCATAGGGTTATGTCTGTCACTTGGGCAGGCAAGGCAGCCGTCTTGCTTCCTACGGGACTATAATCGCTTCAAGAGCAATCAATAATTCAGACGCTCGTCGTTCACCGTCACGGAGCGCGGTGGCGGCAGTAACGGCAGAGGAGGCGGCGAAGAGATGAGTAGAAAAGCGCCCGCGTGCAGCCGTTTCCGTTGGTCGTGCTCCTTTTTCGGCTGGCCTGAAACTCTCTCGGTTTTCCGAAGTCGAGACAGGCCGCCGTGGGGGATCGCTTGATCGCAAGACGGCGGCTTTTTTGGCCTTCCGAACACCGCAAACACCAAACCGAACGAACGCCGACGACGACGGTTACCAATGGCAAACAAAACAAGGGTATATGTGTGTTGTACAACGCAACCCGACTGAAATCGACACTCTGGAAATTTATTGCATTTTGGGAGATTTTCCATTTGTTGGTAGGTACAGATTGTTTGTAGAAAATTTGCAGCGTGCATTAATTATAATTAAATTATTATTTGCCAGTTGAATTGGTTCCAAACACACGCAAAAGTCGCGCAAACATTGTTGATATGTTGACGATTTTGTTTGAAAACTTTCGGCACGAAAACTCGACAAAAGTCGAAATTAACTTGAGCAAAACGCTAAACTTTGTATCACGACAGGCTTTATTTTAATTCCCAATTTCTTCAATATTTATGGCCCGCTCGAGCAAATTTTCATCCGCATTGTGTTCCCGGCTTTGTTTCACTCGTGTATCGCTAATACCTGCAATCGCATCGACTTCACTGGCGGCGAGCGCGCCTCTTTTACGTTTGCAACAAAGAGGGTGCTAAAGTGACGCTGTTAAATTATACAAGTATATAAAGTTAATGGCATAATAGCGCGCGTCGAAAGTTAACTTGGGCTGGCTTTCACTGGTTCGCACTTCGCCGCCGCCATGAGCGAAAAGTGACTTGAAACGGAAGCTCGCCGTCAATGGAAAGGAAGACGCGTGTTGGATGTTCGCCAGAAATTCCTCGTCATGCCTATATCTTCTCACATCCTACATTTTCTGTTAGATTACATCTACTCAATCGATATTCATAACCAAGCTAAGGAAAATCTACTATTCATGAAGTGGATATTCTAAAGAATAAATGTTGCACTTTTTAGGGATAATTTTTTTAAAAATAAATTTGAAAAGGCCAGCAGGTGGTGGTTAGTTGAATTACGAAATTGAATTTCAGTGAGCGTTAGTCAATCGTTGTAAAGTTGCGCGTTTGTGGTCCAAAATGAGTATTGGGCAACGGGGGCAGCATGTTGTTGGCGGTGATCGTACGTGCCGAGCGATGGCGCTCGGCCATAACTCTCCCCGCGCGCCGCGGCCGGGGCAAATCAGTTCCGAGTTGGCCGCTGCAAGATTGTACTTCGCAGCCAACTACATTTATGACCATCGCCATCGGCAGCGGCATGCTTGACCACGTCGGCACAAGAGCGTGAGCTGCGAGTTTATCAAATGATTGACTCGACTGGACCGGCATCACAAACAGATGTTGCGCGATTATTTGCTCGTTCCAGGCGGCCATCAATCGATTATTGAGCGATTCGCAAGCTTAAATTGGCTTTTTACGGCGGCCGAGAGACGCGCTTTAAAAAATTACGAGCGGACGGACATGATGCGTGCCGGCGATGATAACGCATGATTTTTTCTTTTTGCGGATCGCAGCGGTTAATAAACCGGAAAATGGATATTACCGAGGCAGAGAAAAGTAGGCTCGCCGGCATATTGCGTGGGATGAGCTGGTGCACGGTCCCCTGGAAGCATGTAGGGACACTTTTGCTCCACACTCTGGCAGACGCTGGGACAGGGCCTCACTCTCGCCGTGCGATTGAAGTAATGAGGCACCATTGAGCTGCACACCCACTTTCGGTATGCTTCCTAAAACAGAAAAAACATGTGTATTCAGTAAATCATCCTATAAACAAATTTTAAAATATTGGTAGATAAAATTTTGCACAATTAAAAAGATTCTTTTGAACTGGGGGCGTCGTTCTCTGTAGTTATTTTGATAAAGTTGAAGCAAGTTTACCACTCGCTTATATTAACAGTTCAGATACAATAATCGTCTATGTACATATAACTTCCGATAAGTTTAGATTAAAATTAGATTAATGTAAAAATAAATAATTTTCATGACCAAGAAGACCTAAAACTCAAAAGATTAAGTTTACGCATATTTTTGGTAAAAAAAATTACAAAAACATTGCCAAACTTCGTGATGTTTGAGCACAAGCCTTATTTTTCACGATCCTGCACTATCTTGCACGGACCGACCATTTTCAAGCTGCATCACCTCGTTATTTGCAATAGTAACGAACGTGTACCACTTAACTTATTGCTATAACTCCCTACAAACTTCAAATATTATGTTTTTTTTTTAATAATAAAGGTATAGAAAATATCAAATGATATCCTTTTATAAAACAGGGAAATTCACAATTCCCCAATGGTTTGACACTTGTGGATTATTCTTTGCTCATTTTTGCCAACTCTTTAAATACTAGGTATAAATGTACCTCAACATTATGTAATTTAAAAAAGCTTGGCAAAGAAAAGAAAACGTTAGATATAAGTTTGATGATACACCGAGGAATTTGAACAAATTCAAAATGCGCTGTTGTAACTTTTAAACACACAGCATATAATATACGCACAATTTTTTCAAAAACTATCTTTACTCCCGTAATTCAAATAATGCATAAATCATTTAAATCCTGTATAATTTTAATGATTGGCTACTTACTATCGTCTCACATTATTATTCATATCATTATCAAAACGTTTTGACGTCAGTCTTGTTTGATATCAAATGATCTCCACTGAACTGGCTCACAAAGAAGGAACACAAACGAAGGCGTTTGAAAATAAACAATAGGACACAAGCACCTTAAAAAAAAAAAGCTTTGCCAGGAGGGACAACGCCGTCTCTCATTAATCTCTCAGCGTCGCTGGAAGCGACGAAACGCTGGACGGGCCCGAACGTCTGGATCCACTAACAAACTCTCATCAGCATCCTGTTGTCGCGAGCGGTGTCACTTGCTCGCTGCCTTCGGCCGCGAATCAAAAGAAGTACTCCGCGCGCCGCGGGCTTTTTTCTCGCTCGCAAAAACCGACTTCAAATTAGACTAATCGTCGGCGATTATTCAACGCGCCGAACGCTTAACAAGCGGCCAATGAAAAAGGCATAAATGAAGAGAGTAAAAAGCGCCTTCTTGGCTCGACGTTGCCTCTCGGGCTTTTAACTTATGACTGCAAACGGAAGCGGCAAGGCGGCGGCGGAGAACGAAAATGATGAGGCCACATTGGGGGGATAATACGCGCCCGCACGCACATCGTCGACATGTAATTCGTTCATTAATCGTGTCTTTACATTATCCTTCCGACGCTTGCTTGCTTTCATAAAAAAAAAAGCGTAAAGGAAAACAGCATGATAATTATTTCAAGAGGCTGCTTTTAATTATGCGATGTATAAAAATTTGATTATTAGTACCCACTGAGTATGTTGTATTACCAACAAAGATGACTAAATATAATTTATTTTGTCAGTTTTGTGTTATAGGTTATGTTTTTTGAGACTCAAGTTGTGTCACAACCAAAGTTATACCAAATTGCCATCTCGTGGAGAAAATTATTACTGCTCTAGAAAATATGGCAGAACGTCTAGTATCCTGTCTTAATTAAGTACGTTCACAGACAAGACAAAGAAGCAATTGTGAGGCGTGCGTTACACGCGCATACGCTAACTGGATATCTTTCGCAATACACGCCCGGATCGATCCGTCGTCAATCACTCGCAATCCCGAGTGCACCGTGTGTTTCTTTTCGTTTTCGTTTGCCGCTCGCAGCGCAACACAAACAAGCAACAACGTATCAATTCCCCGATCCCCTTGTCTCTCTATACACATCGCGTCGCACGTCACTCACGCCGAAAGCTACGCTTTTCGATTTGCCATTAAGCCGGCTTTCTCGCCCACTCACCCCCGCTCACACAACAACTCGCGATATCGGAGATGGAAAGAAAGTGAGCGAATCTGCAACGTGCATCAACAGTGTAAAAACCACTTCAACATCTTCATATTCGTTATTAAAATTTTACAAAACGCGCTGCGCAAAATTTAATAACTCGCTGCGGTTTGTTGCGCCGGAACGCATGAACGTACACATTTTAAATATTTTTACAGTGGGTCGTTAATGCGTTGCTTTATATTTGAAAATCGCTCGTGAAGAGATCTGCATCCGTCCGGTTTATCGCCGCGGTCTTACGAGATGCCAAATTAAAATGTACGTTATGCGCGAGCGCCTTTTTCCCATTTCGCTCATTTTACGATGGAGCAATAAAAGGTGGTTGCTGTGCAAGTCTGCAAACTTTTTCAACTGGATGCGCAGGGCTGTCGCATTAATATTATCGCTGGAATAAAAGTGCTATTAGAATAATAACAATCACGGTTTATTATCAGAAAAGGTGATATTGCACAGCGCCGGGGGTACCTTGCACGCAACTTGAATCAAATTAACTTTAAATTGCATTATTATACTTGGTGTCATGACCTGATAACTAGACATGTAGATCAAGCTAGAGATGTCATTTTGGTACGAACATGAACAATCCATAAACGACTTATTGCATTGCAGTTGTTGTGAGGAATTGTTCTAAGCGTCATTCACTTGAAATGATAAAATATTTGGCATTTGTCATTTGTAGTATTTTTCTATATATTAAAACTAACTCTTTCGGCGAAATTCGTAACCCTCATCAATAAATGTTTTGTTATTAAAGTAAAATGAATATTCAATAATAAAATGTTTTCGAATAACATTTAAATTAATGTGAAAACATTTATGCAAGAAAAAAAAATTGCGTTTTTGAAGCGCATCAAATTAACTTGCAAAGCAGTAAGAATGCTTTCTGAGTCAGATAAAAAAGGAAAAAGTACAGTGTTGTCGATTATGTCAAACGACAAAATCTTATAAAGAAAACTCGTATATAATAATATAAAGTAGCATAACTAATTGCTTATTTGTTCCTTGTACCTATTATGTGCTTATTCCGCCAATAAAATTCTCAATTTTAATTTAAGGAAATCTGAATTGCTGAAAAAGCACTTTAGTGCAATATCGATTCAAATAATTTATATTAATACTTTGCAACCAACAGTAGTCTTGCTTTTCCTTTGTTAAAATATCTTTAAACTAAAATATATCTAAATGGTTTTTGTGTGAAAACGTCACAAACGTTATTTTGTTATTCAACCCATGATTTTAAAAACCAGATCTTAATTTTGTATTACATATTTTATTTATTATAAATGTATAAATTTATTATTATTATATATATGTTGGCATATAAATAAAAATTAAAGCAAAACTATCTAGTAATGAGACATGTATTTATGTTATTAGTTTACTCCAACAACATAGTTTAATTTTTCTTGAAAATATACTTCCTTTGTTTTAATGAAAACGTGCACGAGCTTCATGCCTGAAACTAACTTAGGTAGGTAACAATCGAACGGACAGAACGATAAGAAACTTTATGCGAGACACGCGAAGCACACAAATCTTGTAAACTCATAACAGTTGCTAAAATGGACTCAAACAGATAGAATAAACTTGGACGGCGGAGCCCGAAGAAGTCAGAAACAATCGAGAATCGAGTTGAATACTGCACGCGGTGCGGTATGGAAAAGTCGGCTTTAATTACGCGTCATTTTCGTCTTCGGCAACTCCGTGGCGCGTTCTAATTTCGAAACGTGCCAAGCGTTGCTGGCGCGTTCAAACGTTTAAATGTTTGCACAATAAGATAAAAGATAAGAAAATATTGACAACGCTCGACGAATCGCAGATTTGACAACTTCCATCATGTGGAACATTTCCGGATGTTGCAGGATGTGCACAACGATGAAAAATTATTGGCGGTAAATTACAGGAAAACTTTTTGTCAAACCATTTCCGCTTTGATATACAAAGGATTGAAAACAAAAAAGAAAACTTAATATTATATCAACTTAAAAATTTCAAACAGAATGTGCCCCATTTAGGAATGTAGACACCAACAGGTTTAGCGTTAGGCCAATGTGAAACAAACAAATAGTGAAGCATTTTACACATGTTGCACACAGCGTTGGAATCCCAAGCACATACATCGCGACTCCCAGAGACATTTAAAAATGCATACTGCATAAAAGCTGCAGGAGCTGGTGCGCAGCACAGCGTATAATCGAATGCATTCCAAATTTATCGTCCACCAGGGACGGACTGCAATTTATTCCATTCCCACAACTATTCGCCACAAAAATTGTATCTATTTGTGATTTATCCTCACATTGTTTATCATTGCTTCGACGATCAATACAAAATTGTATATATAGGAATAATCATGGAATGCGAATGCATTTCACGAGTTTCAAATTGCTTGTTGCTTGAAGTCGGCTTTCGGTAACTGATATCTCAACTGCTCGCCCGGATCCACTCACTCATATTCTCTCCACGGTTGGAAAATAAATTAATTTAATTATATTCGAACGCGGCGCGCTGCTATCTTCTTCGTGACCCTTGTTCCGCTGGTGTAATCTTATTTCCTTGATTTATATTTTCCTCTTAGTCGGTGGTGGCGCTTCCACTTGTTCGGGTAAAAATAACACAAAAAGCTGGTTTACTAAAGCGCCGATGCTGCAAACTGCACACAATTTAATCTTTTTGACATCGCATACTTTAAGACAACTTTTATTTTATCTACACTAGTATTCCTTTTTAGATTGACATTAATAAAATAGAATAAAATAAAATAAAATCTAATGAAATGCTTATACATTTGGCAGAATGAAAGTTTGCAGACTTTAAAACGAGCAATGTAATCAGGTAACTAATCAATTTTTATG